TTGCCCTCATGTTGCCTTCCATTTGTAGAAGCAACAAAAGTTCCACCAGCCATCGTTCAAAATATTTTATCTTAGCTATGTCGTCTTATTTGTTTTAGTTTTTCTTTTTCTTTGTCTCAATATCAAATTGTAAATAATAATTCCTTTTATAGTGTCAGTAATTACTAATGATAAAATATCAAACAGACCAAACAGTTCTATAACAATGAAACAACTTATTTGACAACAAAAAAAATTGGTGATTTTATAGGGGGAGTTGTTATTCATGTCTTGAAAAATGGCCACTGAAAATAAGTTTGAATTGCTACTTTTTTGCTATGTTTGTCTTTCATGCCTTCTTTTTGGGTGGACGTTTGATTAAAACAGACCATACATATCCATTGTTTGGATTAGCAAAAATGTAGTTAGTCAAATAAGAGTTCTTTGAATTTAGATCCGAGTCAGATGCTAATTTTAAGATAACTATAATTGGATAACAATTAGACTCTCAGAATATGTACAACTGCTCTCATATTTACTTCATGACATGTCCATGGTATTAAAGAGTTTGCTAATTTATGATCACAATAACTTTTTGAAGTTATTCCACAATAACTGTCCTCACCTTCTTTTTTTCACTTTGTCGATAATATAATGGTATACGTTTACTACTCTATCTCTTTCTCTCCTGTTCCTGCTTTCGAAATCGAATCATTCAGATTTCTTTTTTCTTGTTTTCTAGTTTAAAACTTTAACTTAACAAAGCTTTCGGTAATTGCTGCTCAACGCGGGGACAGTAGCGCTACAAGATTTGAATTGCAAAGATTATATTCTTAGAAGTTGTTTGGGTTCTTAAGGATTCTCTTACATGATTAAATTACAGGAATACAAATACAGATTAACGGTTGTTAAATTACATGATGCGAATCCAATGCTAATTGAAGAGTATGAAGTTTATGGACTGCCAACAGTAATACTCTGTTACAAAAGCGACACCCCGACATTACCTTGAGGCTTATTAGCAACACCTTAAAATTTATCAAAAATTTTAAAAATTAGTTAGTTCTCTTTTTTTTTTCACTTAAATTAACATTTTTTGTATTTTTATAATTTTTAGTTAAATTTTATTAAATATTAAAAGTATAAAAAAATAGAGAAAGACAAAGTCCTTAAACACCAAATAACGAAGAAACTAAGTTTCGAATTTATGCATGTGATGAACCATCTTTTGAGTAACAATGAAATTCTCCCAAAAGGCTTATTAGGAAGAATGATGAGGACTTACAAGATCATTCAAGAAAGTTCAAAGTTTATGAACTAGAACCGTTGAAATAATTTTGAAGGTAATATTGCAAAGGCTCATGGGACGAAAAACCTTTGGAGTGAGAATAATTTGAATTGTTGTGATACGATTATCCGAAAATCTATTGAAGAAGGTATCACTAACTAGCTTCCAAACATCATTTCCAATGACATGTTAGTATTCTTTATAGAAAAAAGGTTGATACCCAATCGGCCCGATGGCCTTAAAATATTTCATACACATCACTGCAAACCTGACTTCTTCTTTAGAAATAGGAGCTATGAGAGCTTAAAAAGCAATTTCGTTTAACGTAGGATTATGTCAAAAAAGAATTTTAAAGCTGGAGTTAACAATAGAGGAACCAAATTTTGACTTGAAATAATTTAGAACTTCTGTCTTAAGGACTTCAAGGTCACAACATTAAAAACCATATTCCAAGGTCAAGCTAAGAATCTTATTCCTATGCCTCCAAACAATGGTTTGGGTGGAAAAAAAAATTGTATTATGATCACCAGATTTTAAGCATTGGTCCCTAAAATTTTGAAATCAAAGCAATCCTCTTGTTTCATTATCTCAATATATTACAAGTTTGCCTTCTGCATGTTATTTCCTCTTTAAAATATTTTATTGAATTCTTGGAATTTAGGTGAAGTTGAATAAGGTTATCAACCACCTCATGCTCATCTCTATGACAAGCAGAATTGACAATTCCTTCAAAGTCTTAAATCGAGGCCAACTTGCCATAAAACGCCAAGGTCTCCGATGATGCTCATCTTCCACATTAAAAAAAGAGAGCAAGAGTGGAGAGTGATCAGATTTGACTCAACAAAGTTTGTTTAGGTAGGTCTTATGAAAAGCCAATTTCCACATGCTATCCACCAATGCCTTATTCAAGCAGTTCATAATAGTAGCTTCAGGCCTGAATTGGAAGGTTAAATATTGGGTGTTTTATTTCCAAGACTTTTCATTTTGAATTGAGTACTCGACATTGTCTAATAATTGGGCCATGTTAAGAGTATGCAATTTAGGATTGACTTCCTAGTAATATGTTCTTGATAGACTTGCGTATGTTGGGTGCTCCTGGTAGACCCAGTAGTAGTTCCTAAGACGTTTGATGGTTGAAGGAACCTATCTAACATATAAATATTAACACTAACATCATTGTGATTTCTTTCAAATAAAATAGAAAACTTATTATTAAAGGTGAACAGGTTCTCCAACTATAATTACGTCGTTAACACTACCATCACTTAAAGCTGTTGGAGCAACCTTACATTCTTGGCCAAAATGGCCATAACAACCATAGACTGGACATAAAAGACGATGACTTTCATATTGAATATGATACCAGTAATTCTTAATACAAACTTCATTCACTATCAACTTTGTAAGATTTATTTAAACGCATACATGTGCAAATCTACTTCTCTCAAACATTGAGTGTGTTCATATCCACTTCACACTACCTACAATAGTCCAAGAAGAAAACTTTCAGCATAGAAAATCATATTCAAACTAAGAAAATGAATGCAACAAGCATGCTATTAATAGAGTCAACTTTAGTGATAAAATCTGGTGTCCAAATTTTCACTGTCAAACAGTGATCAAACAACATCCACAGACCCTCACTCATGACTTTTCATCTGTCCTCATCCATTTCAAACTTAACCATAGAATAACCATAACCAACATCTCTTAAGTCTAAAGAAAACATATCTTTGCAGAGAAAACAAAATCTACGTCCATATGGGAATGTGTAAAAGCTGGCACTTATCTGCGTAATTAAGGGTGTAGGATAAGTTGTTACAGCTGCCAGCCATGACTTAAAGAGATATAGCAACTGCCGTATTGAGTAATAGATTTTAGTTAATATATTTATAAACATATATATATATATATATATATACACACACAAATTCTAAGGTACCTCCACATTTGACTGCATCATGTTTTCACTAATTAAAATCAAACATCTTACGACATATATTCATGTCATTATTTGACATTTTTTTTAAAAATAGTCTCAATACTAATACCTATATTTTGTATAGGCTATAAAATTTTTTAATATTATATATATATATATATATAGTTTAACATAATAAAAATATAATATTAATTAAAAATAAAAACTCAGGTAATTGTAAAAAAAAATTAAAATGACAATAAAATAATATTTAGCCAAGAAAAATAATAGTTAAATAAATTAATTTGAAGAAATTATAAAAAAAATATTATTCTTGTATTTATATAAACAAAATCTCAATCATAAATGATATGTATATTTTTTAAAAAATATCTATTTTTTTATTAGTTCAAATATCAAAACCTATAAAATAGAAAGGCGCCAAGTAATCACCTTACTTATTAATATAAAACATCATAAATAATTATATAGATTAAAGTAATTATCTTTAAACTGATTTAATCTTTTAATTTTTTTCCTCCAAAGAATGACATGTGTCAGTGTCATTTTTAATTTATAATTTTTATTTTAGTTTATTTTCCTTTAATAATACATTTTTCTTTAAATTTATTCTAATTTTAATATAAATTTTTTAATCATACTTAAATGCCACGAGATATATTTAAATTTACATTGATATTAAAAATATTAAGTGATTTTATATTAATTTTAACTATTTTTGACAAAAATTAACGATTAAAATTTATTTTTAACTAATTTAATAACTCGTAAAATGTATAAGTATTAAACATATATAATTTAATGATTAAAGAACAGAATTTAACAAATACGAAATATTAAAACATACAGAGATATCAATAAGAAATTTCAAATTTTATATAAAGTAATAAAGAAATATTTATAAATATAAAAATTTATATAAAATAATATGAAAAAGTTAAGTAATAATTTTGATATATAAATTTTAGAACAAAATTAATTAAAAAAAGGCATAAAAGTTAAACTATTACAACGAAAAGTGTAATCCATGTATTATATTCAGTCAATTTTAACCTTAACAAGTATATGTGCCATGAAAGAAAATAGTTTTGTTTTATTAAATACTCCCTTTTAAAATAAAAGATTGGCGTTTATAATATTGATATTGACTTTTCAAACACACAAAAATCATTCTAATTTAATATATTTATTATATATTTATACTTTTTAAATTTATTCTTATATAATAAAATAAAGTTATTACTTTAAATATAGTTATTCTTTATTCTATTTTCTTAACCCTTTAGACTATTTTAAATATTTTTTTGGAATATTTTTGTTTTAATTTATTCTCTTTCAACTGTCTTAAACTTTAAATATTGTCACAATGTATAAAATATTTACTAGTATATTTTAAATGACTGATTTTATTTATCATTTTTATTTATATTTTTTACTTTACTTTGAGAATCGATTATGATAAGAAAACAAATTATAACAAAAACTAAAACCTTATTTTGGAATTATAACTAAAACCTTTTTAAAATAATTGAGTGAGTGACAAATTAAGTCAAAAAAATAACAATAATGTTTTTAAATGCTCCCAAAGTCTATCAAATCCTTACATTAAGTACTAGTGAGGGTGGGAAGAATGAGACCAAAAAAAAAAATAATCTTTCTCTATTCTTCCTTTACACAAATATGTAAAAATAGGCATACTGTATTCAGATTTTTAGGTGTAATTTTTTTTTTAATGCAAGATTTATAAAATTTAAAGTTAATAAAAATATAATAACAATGTCTATAATAATAATAATTGAATCACTTTGATTTTTCACTTTCATTTCATGTGATGATATACATTCGATATTCAACTTAGAAGATCAACATGATACACATATTAATATTCAACTTTGAACATCATTGATCTTCTGATCATTATTAACATGATCATTATTAACATCACCAACAAACTTTGTCCAAAACCAATGTGATTTCCACACTTTATTCATTTCTTCAATGGGGACGTTCTTAGTCTCTGGCAGGAATAAGGCAATGAAGATAGTCATGATGATCACAAATCCAGCAAAGAAGAGGAAAAGGCCGAACTTCAAGTGACAAAGCATGGTTAGGAAAACTTGAGCAATAGCAAAGGTAAACAACATATTTACGGCAACATTAATGGCTTGACCAGCAGATCGAGTCTCCAGAGAACATATTTCACTGGGTACTAGCCACCCAAGTGGACCCCAAGACCATGCAAATGCTCCAACATATGCACATATGAAGAACAAGAGAAGGTCAGCTTCACTTTTGCTAAAAGAGCCATTGCCGGTCACACCAAATTTCAGTGCAATCATAACTCCAACGGCAACCTACGAACAATTATTAAAACCATTAAATTAGTCTTCGTGTGTGTATATATATATATATATGACAAAGATAGATAAATACAGTTTTAGTTAAAGTCGAAGTTTTCACCTGACAGATAAGCATTTGGATGCCACCTTCCAGAAACAAAAGTCTTCTTCCAAACTTATCCACAGTGAATATGGAAACAAAAGTAGCAGCCACATTAACACATCCAGTGATAACTGCAGACATAAGGGCAGCATCACCTCCAAAACCCAAAGTTTTGAAGAGAACGGGTGCATAAAACATAATGACATTAATGCCAGTAAGTTGCTGGAAGAATGGAATCCATATGCAAAAAGTGAGTTGAGGCTTGTATTTAGGCTGTGTAATGTTCTTCCATGGGTGTTCCACTTGTTTAGCTGCCTCACATGCATCAATGAGGTCTTGGAGCTCCTCATCAACATTATCAATGCCACGAATTTTTTGTAACATTTTCTTAGCTGCTTCCCTTTGGCCTCTTTCAATCAAGGAATTAGGCGTGTCACCTAAGAATAGTGATCCAACACATAGCATGATTGCAGGAACAGCACCAACACCCAGAGAAATTCTCCATCCACTTTCTAGTTTGGCAGTCCCATAGTTAATAAGGTTTGCAATTAAGATGCCAATTGTGATCATCATTTGAAATCCCATGTTGAGTGCACCTCTAATCTTTGCCGGAGCCATTTCAGACAAATATACTGGTACAGACTATTGAGAATAAAAGAAATAATTAAAAGCAATTAATCATGGAATATTATTCTACATTCATATAGTAAATCTTGAAAGCATTAACAATGATTCTAGTATTTACCTGATTACAATATCCCACGCCGATACCAAGTAATATACGACCAATGATAAGCATCTCGATATTTACAGCAAGACCATTTAATACTGCACCAACAAGAAAAAATAAGCCTCCTGAAAACATTGAAATTTTGCGCCCCATCAATCTTGTGGTTGTGGAAGCAAAGAAAGAAGCTACTAATGCGGCTAAATATAAGGAAGAGGTGAATAAAGTAAGTAGCTGATTGTCAAATTTGCAATATTGACTATGATGACCGGTATCATCTTTCATTTGCTTATAAACACCAGGGAAGAATTTTATTAAGAATGGTTCCATGGAAGTCACTCCTCCTGTTATTCCAAGATCATAACCAAAGAGAAGGCCTCCCATGGCTGCCACAAAGCATGTAACCAACACAAATGTTGTAACCTTGCCATCAAATTGTTTTGTTTTTCCTGTATTTACAAAAGCTCCACCTGCCATCTTACAATCTAAATATTTACAAATTTATGAACTGAAATAAGGTTGATAAATACTTAAATTTGATTAAATATTTACAATAAAATATTTACAAACAACCCTATTTACAAGCTCCTTACTCCCCACCTCCTCCTTATGCTTCTTCCCTTGTCACTGTTTGAAAAAAAAATGGTGATTTTATAGGGGGAGTTGTTATTCATGTCTTGAAAAATGGCCACTAAAAATAAGTTTGAATTGCTACCTTTTTGCTATGTTTGTCTTTCATGCCTTTTTTTGGGTGGACCTTTGATTAATACAGACTGTACATATCGTTTGGATCAGCAAAAATGTAGGTAGTCAATAAGAGTTCTTCGACTTTAGATCTAAATCAGATGCTAATTTTAAGAAATCTATAATTGGAATAATATTAGACTCTTATAATCTATGCAACTGTTCTCTTATTTACTTCATGACATCTCAAATGGTATTAATAATAATAATATATGGTGATAACAACTTTTTAAAGTTATTCGTCAATAAATTTGTGTCTTCACTCCTTTTTTCTCTTTTCTCGATAATGTAATTATGTATGTTTTACTATTCCCACAAGTTTCCTTCAACTCATTTCATTCTCAAAGTGTTTACTCAATTGATCCTTTTCATGTTTATAATTAAGGCAACCGTGCAATCTATGAGTTTAAATCTAATGTGATATTAGGAGAGAAAAACGCAAACGAAATTGATATAATCAACACAAATAAATGACATGTAATACTATATTTCTTTTATTTATATCTTTCTTTTCTAACAATATAACAAGAACTAACATGTAATATTCTAATCTATTAAGATCGAAATCTGGACCAAATTTATGTGAAAATTATTCAGAAGAAAATATTTTTTCCTCCCTTTCATCTCAAAATACTTTCTTCAGCAGTATGTTTATGCATTACAAATATTGCTGTTTAACACATCATTTTTTATGAAAAAACTCGAATTGATAATTGACCAGTGGATGATGAGAAATAAAGGAAGGACATGTTCACTTTATCCAATATTTGGTGTGTTATTATGTCAGAGATACTTTCTTTTGCCTGATAATATAATAGTACCACAAAAATACAGAGGCCCTAAAATTACAAGTGTACAAAATTTTTAGTGTCTATGATTGTCTAACTTGACACTCGTCAACTTATCTCTATGGAATCATAAGCCCTGGCCAGCTGGGCATCAAAATATTCATAATTATCTTCTTCATCTTCCTCTTCTTCGTCGTCAACGAATCTAACAACGCCATTAACTTTAGGTAAACTACTATTTTCACTGAAATGCACTACGAGTTCATTAGCCTCTTTTCTTTCTTCATCTGTTTTTGCTAAAGATAGAAGGACATTTTTAGCTTTCTGATCAGGAGGAATCCCACTAGAATCCATTTCCTTAAACCAATGAACAGCATTGCCAAAATCCCCACTTTTTCCATATGCATCCATGATAGTGGTCAAAATTGTTTGATTGGCCTTGATTCCCCGCCCAAGCATTTCCTCATACTTTCCCACTGCCTTCTCAAGATCGTTTATCTTAGCATACCCTTTAATTAAGGTTCCATAAGTGACAACATTAGGCTCAAAACCATCTTGTATCAATCTTTTAAAGAACTTCTCAGCACCCTCCATGTCTAGTGCATTAACATAAGCCGACAACATGGTAGTGTATGAGCAAAGATCTGGCATGTATCTGCATGGGAAAAGAAAAACAATATGAGGAGAATGCTCAGTGTTGTGCACTAAAAAACAATGTCGACAGTAACATATAGTTCTCTAAATTCTAATTCATTCGGTACATGAATTTTAAATGATCCTAAAAAATGCTAGTTTCTTTACTTCTAACCAAACCTAAACTATTATAAGAAGACAGGTGTTTAGGACATTTAATTGTCAATTACGACTCAATTAATGACGTCAATGCCACAAAAGAAGCTTCCGTTAACTGAGGTAGATTTTACCAAAAAAGGTTGTACCTAAATAAATAAGTCCAAGGACCAAATTGAGACTAAAAAAATGATAAAGGATTCAACTGAAACTTTAAAATAAGCTTAGGGGACGAAAGGTGTATAATTTTTGCCCTAATATAGATGACAATAATTGATAGAAAGGAAACACGACTTACCTATCCCTTCTCATGCTTTTAAACACTGTCCGAGCTTGGTCTACCATTCCCGAAATAGAAAATGCATCAAGTAAAATATTGTAAGCCTTCCGAGTTGGTCTGTGAAAAAATAAAAAAAAGAATAACGTAACATTTTAATAAAAAAAAATATTTTAGTAGATAAAACACAACAAATTTGGTCAAATCAGATATAACAGTTGCCAAATCAAAATAAATAGTCAGCAATTTAACTAAAAAAGTCAGTCTCTCATAATCAAAATTATTAAAGAGAAAATTTATTTGTATAGGAGCACATATGTAAAGATGGGAATTTGAATATTTCAACGATTTACTTGTAATAGCACCAAGACTCACAATGTTAAGAGTGAACAGGTATTTCACTTTGAAGTAGTGCTTGCAAATATAGCAATTTAAATACATGACCTGTGACTACTAAAAAGTTGCATTATGTAATTAATAATAACAATGCTGATAATAACTTAAAAATTAATATCCTAAATTATCCAGCTTTCTGTTAATTCTTGGCACTAATGTTATTCTCTGACATACCTGACACCAGCATCAAGCATTTCCTCAAATACAGCTAATGCTTCTTGCTCCCTCCTGGCCTTCCCATACGCATTAACGAGTAAGGCATAGCTCACAACATCAGGTCTGAGATCAGCTCTTTGCATCTAAAATTAGGCATTCACTTCAAAATCTGATGAATTAATTATAAGCAATAAATTAAAGGGGGGACAGTAACACAAGACAAAACAAATGGAAAGTCTTGAAAATACCTCAGATTAAATAAATTATCTGTCCATGAAAGTCCTGACAGAATTTTAGTGCATCTTGTGTGCAAGGGACTTAATTTCACCAATCAGAGATTTGGTATTTTAATAAAATTCTGAATGAATTACCATGGATAAAGGTTTTCAAACCATAACATAATTCAAATAAACTACTTGAAGGAATTAACAATCAGTTAAGACAATTTTGTACCTCTACAACATAAACAAAATGCCTAAACAGTTGAAAATTGAGTCTATGCTTACGAATTACAACAAAAAGGCAGATCTACAATTTCACAAAAAGTACCCCAATCATGTTTCTGTTCATGTAGAGTATAACAAGAGACCATTTTGTTTTAAACGAGTGAGCTCAAAACCATTTTCTTATTCTTTTGGAAATGATAAAATAATATGATATAAAGGTATGTATGCCCAGCTTTCAGAAGAAAAATGTTGTCTGTGATAAACATTCATAGAACACAACCAAAATGAAATGAGAGAATCCCAAATCTACCATAGATTCTATGAAAGGTAGATATTAATTTTACCTGATCATATATGCTTGAAACTTCCTTGTAATTTGCTTCAAACGACATCAAGCTATTATATGTTACTGTAGATTGTTCAATTCCCCGTTCGGCCATCAAAGCAAATGTCTTGCGAGCCTTTTCATAACTTCCAGCCTTCTTATGCATGTAAATCATCATGTTAAACATCTTCTGGTCCGGTTTCAAAGGTGATTTTTCATCATTTAGTAGATTGTGAAATACTTCTTCAGCTTCCTCAAACTTGTTCCCCTGCAGGAGAATCAATTATATAAACGAAAAACTGAAAGTCAAACACTCGCAGCAGTCTGTACATTATTTAAGAAATGTATAGTATACTGAGTTCAACATAGCTATAAAAGAAACAAGAATACCCTATCATCACTATTGGGACAGTTATTATTAGTTTCAATTCATGGGAGTAATAACTTATAAGCCCATCAATCTCCATGTTTAAACTCACTCAAGGGGGCGTGTTGGTGTTGAAAAACCATTATTGGGCCCTTATTTACAGCTTAGAATTTTATGGCAAGGCTAAAAGCATCCCTCCACAAAAACATAAAATTCCGTTTTCATTAAGTACCTTGTTACTTTAAGCACAGTGGAAGAAATCAAAGCTATGAAGTTAGGCAATCAGAATTTTTTCCTCAATTCAAAATTTCCAATAGCGAACAGAAGTACAACAACAGCTAGAGCTTATTCCCCTGATGTCATAAGGGAAACAAAAGAGCAAAGGATAAAAAATGCATGCCAACCTGAACAAATGTTTTAAGTATTATTTGATATGTTAAAGCAGAAGGTTCAGGGCCTGATCTCTGCATCCTACGGAATATAGCTTCAGCATTATTGTATCTGCCTCCTCTTCCATATGCTTCCATAAGTGCAGTCTGAGACACTACATTTGGTGCGTAACCATTCTTATTCATCAAGCCTAAGACCTTCTCAGCACTGTTGAAGTCTCCTAGCTTCCCATAAGCCGTGATAAGCATGAAGAAATCCATCTTACCAAATTCCCACCAGTTTTGAGTCCGAAGCCATTCAAGAATCTAAAGACAACAACAATAACAAACACTCATACAACACCCGAATTCAAACAAAACGGAGAAAAGCAAACCCAGATGTGTTATGTCATATACCTCAACCACGAGGTTCCACCTCTTGAGTTGTTTAAATCTAACCAAGGTACCAACAACAAGGTCTTTAGGAACAGCTTGGTCTTCTGTTTTCTCAGAAATGAAAACGGAAACAGCAGAACCTGTCTGGTCGATTTGGTTCATGACTCTCCTCCAATTCTTCTGATCAGCTTCATCAGCAGCGTCCTTGAAAACTTCCAATTTCCTCCTCCTCTGCATGAACTTTCTGGGTTTCAACATACCCCTACACACCACCGTCATTCTCCCACTCATCTTCACCTTCGCAATTCCATTCTTCCACTTACTGCAAAACACTCACTGAATCATATCTAAGCATAATAACCCAAACCCAACCAACCCAGAAAGAACCATTCAAAATTCATGAACCTTACCCTGTGTGAAGCGGTGGTAGAGAGAGTTGCCCCAAGTGCCAGTGTGACTTCGAAATGAGGCTACACATTTAGCCAACAATGCAGAGTTGCCACCAGAAGAAGAAGAAGATTGAGGAGGAGAAAAGTAAATAAATATCTCTTCTAAATTTCTAATAATAATATCCATCGCTATTCGTTGGGCTGGACTCATTTTTTGGGTCTGGCCCAAATTTTAGTCCAACCTTCGGCCCAGTTAGGCGAGAAACAAATACGGGATCTTCTTCAACTGGTTGGGGCAAAAAAATCAAACAAGGGATTGTGATCGTGAGTTCCTACGACGACGACGACGACGAATCATGTCTTCAGGCGGCGGCGGCGGAGTTAAGCCGTTTTTCTGCCACGTGTGCAGTCGAAGAGTCACATGCTCCGATGATTCCGAACCTTTCTGCCCGATCTGTCTCGAAGGTTTCGTCGAAGAATGTAACCCTAACCCCATTACTAACCCTGAAGAATCTTTCGATCCCCATTACTCCTTCCACCGCTTATCGATTCTCCCTCTCTTGTTATCCTCGGCTTCCACCACCACCATCGACCTTCAGAACCCTCGATTCTTCTCCAGTTCTCCTGGATCCAGAACCCGCTCCGATATCCCCGAACCCGACATGTTCGACCCGTTTCTCTTCCTTCAGAACCACCTTCAGGGCCTTCGTGCCGACGGCGCTAACATTCAATTCGAGATCAACCACCCTTCCGAACCGGGGTTTCGCCTTCCGACCAACATCGGCGATTACTTCCTCGGTCCTGGCCTCGAGCAATTGATACAGCAGCTCGCTGAGAACGATCCTAATCGTTACGGCACGCCGCCCGCGGCTAAAGACGCCGTTGAGAATCTTCCGACGGTGACTGTCGGCGACGAGTTGCTCAAGTCGGAGATGAACCAGTGCGCGGTCTGCCAGGACGAGTTCGAGAAGGGTTCGCAGGTGAAGCAAATGCCTTGCAAGCACGTGTACCATGACGCGTGCTTGCTTCCCTGGCTTCAGTTGCATAATTCTTGCCCTGTGTGTCGATATGAATTGCCCACAGATGACACCGATTACGACAATCAGGCACGGGTGAACAGCGGTGATGGGTCGAGGTCTAGGGGTAATGGTGGTGGCGGCGGCGGCAACGGTGGTGGCAACAGTGGCAGTGGAGAGGGAAATAGACCAGTTCGCAGGACTTTTAGAATATCTTTGCGGTATCCTTTTGATGCAGGTGGCTCTGCGCAGGATAGTGGTGAAAGCGGATGGGGAAATTGACGAGGAGATTTGGATTGAAATTGTAAGTTGTTTTTATTTTTCCTAAATGAAAGTGTTTGATTATTGATTTATGTGCTTTGTTTGTTTTATATGATATGATTTCGCTTGTTAGGCACTCACTATTTTATTTTGATTTGAGATACACTATGTTTTGATTAGATTTAGGATTCAATTTTCTGTTTCTCCGGTGTAATTGGCAATCCATGGCATTGAAAATTTGCATTTTGTCATAGTCCTGCAAAAATTGATGCTGCTAGTTCTGGTTAATGCTGTTGTTTGTTACAGAGGGGTTTTTCTGTTTGGAATGCATTAGCAGACTGCTCTTCAAACTTTAAAATGTTTCTGGACCCATTCCTTTGTTTACTTTGGTCTTTTTGTGGGATGGGGTTGATATTGAAATTATTGTTTTGTGGCTTGTTAAAGTAAACTGCATTGTATATGGTTCTAAGATTGCTTATGCATTTTTTCTTGGATCAACTTTTGTTTGATGTTCTGTTGCTTAAATTCCTAGTTGAAGTTAATTTTCTTGGCTTTTTACAGAGTAATAAGATGTTATATATTCATAAACATACCTCCTTGTACTCAAGCCAAGCAGTTAGTCAGAATTTATTGTTCTCGTTGGTTTTCACAATTATTCTGTATATTCTCATTTTATAGTCATTTTCATATTAGAGTGAAAATCTCTAAATAATCTGAACTAAATGAGATTTTAACAAGTGGTTTGTTCAACTGTTTAAAATCTGTGTATCTTCGTATATTTATACCCTGTATAGTTTCAATGTTTATAGTTGATTTTTTCAATTATTTTTATCATAAATCAATTTATAATACCATTTTTGATAATTTTTTGATGTTGCTAACCCTTGGTCAAAGAAATGGATTGTGTGGGAAAAGGGGAAGGGATTTGAATAAATCTTTAAAAATATCCAAAAAATTGTTCTTGTCGCTTGGTAGGGCAAAAGAGATGTGGATAGCCAAAATATCCAAATATGTATTTTCTATGATTTTCTTTGTCCCCCATGTTTTTTAGGTAACATATAAGCAAGCAAATGTGTGGATTGCTTCTTGATTTTTAGATTCTGTAGCTGGATCATGAGTCGCTGTATATTATAGGCCAACAAATTTGTTGCATCTATGTTTGGTTTTCAATTTGATATACTTATGCATCCAACAATTATGAAGGTATATGTTAATATCATGCACTGATACAAAGGTCGTATCTGCAGGTATTGTTTTGTGTTGAAAAGCTGGAAACCATCTTGTGCAGCTCAGAGTTTCCGTGAATAGGCATTGCCATGTTTACAAAGTCCTTGTAAGGATTGTAAGAGATATTATTACCCATGGCCGGGAAATTTGTCTAATCAAAGGACCATTCTTTCTTATGTAGTGTATAGCTGGATCATGGGATTGCTTGAAAGCACTCAATTATGGAGATCAAGCACTGTTGATGACAATTTTTTCCTGTTGTTTTTGTACAGATCATCTTCCAATCATCCAATATTGATTACCATCCTTTTTATGCAATACGAACTAGCCAAAGTCTATATTTCTCCTGCGTGTATATAAAACATTAGAAATTTATGTATACAAGGCATCGTCTGTTAGCCCGCAAGCTAATTAGCCTAATTAGAAATAGGCCTGCATAAATAAACATTCGAATAGGTTTTTTATTCATGACAAGCTTGAACAAAAATATATGTCGAGTAACCAAGTATATTTAAAGTTAAGACTAGCTTGATTTGACCTGTTTGCGTACATAGCTCAAAATAGTGAAAATTTTAAATATCTGATCTATTGAGATTAAATTTACAGAGTATGGAGGACTAATATTATATGTTTTGTCGGGTTGTATTTCCTTTGAAAAACAAAAAACAAGTGTGATGCTATTGTCTTCGATTTATAAGTGTATCTAGACTAGTAAATCGGACTGAGTATATTCAAATGGTGCTGTCAAGTTATCTTAGAAAGATGTATGTACGAGCAGGACGCCCTTAAAGGGACTGTAGTTACTGAAGTTATGGTGAAAAAAAATCGTAAGAGAGCTTGTAATCATGTAGGTGCGAAAATTCTTATGAAAGAAAGATCTGGCTGTTGTAATATGGAAGAAAGAGACGTGAGGAATTAGCCTTTGTATTTTTTTTACGTTAAGTTCTGTGTGGTTTCTTGGCATCGCAATAACGTTGATAATTGATATCAGCGCTCTCTTTCATTAATTTGATCAATTAAAACAAATTGACAAAGTGCCAATGTGTATATTAACTTCCTTATACTTTTCTTTTCGGTCATTACTTCCTTATACTTCTGAGAATCGTGATTTAACTACTGGGTTTGGCTCTGGCTCTGTATATTTGACCCGTTTACAAGAATTAAATATATCTGTTTTGATTATCAAGGGTTGTGTTTACTGTTAATCGATTTCAAGAACTGAGTGGCTCCCAAGTCCCTTTGCACCTAAAGGCCAACCTAACAAGTTAATAAATATAAATAATGGTTAACATTCGAAATTTATGTATTTTTGTGTACCGTTAAATTTTCGTTTGGACGGGGAAAATACTGCATGGAAAAGATATACAAATTCGCAATTTATTCAGCAACTCTATATTAGAATTAGATACAATTAGATATTTTGTTTTTAGATATTCTGTTCTATTTGTTAGTTAGTTGGTAATGGGAGTTGATATATAAACCTTATTATGTAAACATTACATTTTTTATTTTTCAATTAGTTCTCTTTACTTTTCTCTCATTCAACATAGTTTCAGTAGTGATTTTTCCGCATTCATTCCCATAATTTTTCAAGAAGCTCCTTATCTTCTTCAACTTTTTTTTCCTATTTCTTGTTGAAATTTCATCTAGTTTTCTCCCATGGCTGCCATGGATGAAACCAATCCTTTATACATCCACTCTTCCGATAATCCCGGTTTAGTGCTTGTTTCTCATCCTTTATGTGAGGACAATTATAATTCTTGGAAGAAGGCGATCAAGATGGCACTTCTTGGTAAGAACAAATATGGCTTTGTAGATGGTTCCATTCCAGAACCTGTTGCTAGATCCACTACACATTCTCTTTGGCTTCGCAATGACAACATTGTTGCTTCATGGCTCTTGAACTTGCTTTTAAAGGAAATGCAGGTGAGTGTTCTGCATTGTTCTTCAGCCAAGCAAATTTGGAGTGATCTCCAAGAACGCTTCGAACAACGAAATGTACCCTTAATTTTTCAACTGAAACGTGATCTTGTTTTGCTTCAACAAGGGTCCATGTCAGTCTCATCATATTATGCTAAGTTACGATCAATTTGGGAATCTTTGATTGCATTGACGCCTGCTCATACATGCACCTGTGAGGGCATCAAGCCATGGTGTGACTATGATCAAATGGAGTATGCTATGCACTTTCTCATAGGTCTTAATGAAGCTTATTCTTCAATCAAGGGTCAGATTCTTTCAATGGATCATTTTCCTTCCATCACCAAGGTTTTTTCTTTGGTCGTCCAAGAAGAGAAGCATAAAGAGATTGGTAGTTCGGCTAATATTGAATCTTCCCATGCCTTCGCAGTCAAGAATGGTATTGATTCCAAGAACAAAAAAGATAGACCCGTGTGTGCTCATTGTGGAATTATTGGTCACACCAAGAATCAATGCTACAAGTTGATTGGTTATCCACCTAACTACAAGAAGAACAAATCTTCTTCAGCTTCTATTAATCAAGCTTCTTCTGGTTCTATGCATGAGGTTGCCTCTGAAGGAAATAGCAAGGATTCTTCCTCCTTTCAACTTACAACACAACAACACCAACAATTGATGAATCTCCTCCAAGGTCAAGCACCAAACGTCACACAATCAAATGCTCCTAGTGGTATGATTATGCCTACTCTAGAGGCTAGTCCTATTTCTAATGGTTTAGTTTTTTTTGCGATTTCTATCAATCCTTTGCTTAAAGGTAGTTGGATCATTGATTCAGGTGCTAGTACTCATGTAGATTATTCCCTATCATGTTTTCAATCTTATAGATATGTCACTGATAAAACCCTTGTGTTACCCAATAAATCTGTTATTCCTGTAGTAGTTATTGGCACAGTTACACTTTCTTCTACATTGCTGCTTTATAATATTTTTTATGTGCCTCAATTCAATTTTAACTTGTTGTCTGTCAGTGCTTTATTGGCTCATAGTGATTTGTCCATCACCTTTCTTCAAAATCATTTTTTTATCCAGGAGATGCTTCACTCCAAGAAGATTAGCAGTGGTAATCTCATTGAAGGATTGTATGTGTTGTCTCCTTTAGCTTGTTCAAAGAATAATTGCAATTCTGTTTCCTTTACTACTTGTACAAATTCTGCTTTTTCCTTTCAGAATAATAATTCTTGTAAGAATGCTTCTGTTTGGCATTCTAGATTTGGACATATCTTAGATAAAGTTCTTCGACTATTGAGTAATGAAATTTCTTTTGATATTCCACATAATTTTTCTACTTCCACTTGCCAAATTTGTTCTCCTGCTAAGTTTAGAAGATTATCCTTCAATTCACTCAATAATGTGTCTCAGTCATTATTTGATATATTGCATTGTGACATTTGGGGGCCTATAGTAAGCCTACTTATGATGGTAAACGCTTTTTTCTAACCTTGGTTGATGATTGTAGTCGCTTTACTTGGATATTTTTGCTCACGCACAAGTCTGAAGCTGCTAATGTTATAAAACAATTTTTTCAAATGGTTAAAACTCAGTTTGGCACCAACATTAAGTGCTTTAGGTCTGACAATGCAAAAGAGCTTGCTCTTATTGATTTTCTAGGAACACAAGGAACTCTACGTCAATTTTCTTGTGTGAAAAGACCTCAACAAAACTCAGTAGTTGAGAGAAAACATCAGCATCTATTGAATGTGGCTCGAGCTTTATTTTTTCAATCTAAGTTGCCAATCCATTTCTGGGGGGAGTGTGTTTCCACTGCTGCCTTTCTAATCAACAGGATTCCCTCTCCTACACTACAACAGAAATCACCTTATCAGGTTCTGTATGGATCCAAACCTGATTATCAGTCATTAAAAGCTTTTGGATGTTTGGCGTATGCAGCAACATTACCCTCCTCCAGAATCAAATTTACTCCTCGTGCCATTCCCTCCATATTTGTTGGTTGTCCTAGAGGTTACAAAGGATACAAATTAAACAATCTAGAAACTAAGCAATTCTTCATTTCAAGAGATGTGATCTTCCATGAAAAAATCTTTCCTTTCAAGGCGGTGACTTCTTCTAAAGATTATTCCTCTTTTCTTGATGATATGGTAATTCCTTTACCAATTACTGATAATTTGCCCTTAGATACTTCTATTGTTCATCATTCAATTGAGTCCCAAGGTGAATCTCCACCAATGCCTATTATTGATGAACTTGAAGCACCTATTCGAAGATCATCTAGAATTTTCAAGAAACCCTCTTATTTATCTGATTATGTGTGCTCCAGTACTTCACACCCTTATCCCATCCAGAATTTTTATTCTTTGGACAAACTCAATCTAGAATATAAAACCTTTGTCAACCAAATTTCCACTAATTATGAGCCTCAGTTCTATCACCAGGCAGTTCCTTACCCTGAATGGAGAGATGTTATGGCTCAAGAGATTAAGGCTTTGGAAGACAATGACACTTGGTCTTTAATCCCTTTACCTGAAGGCAAACATTGCATAGGGTGCATATGGGTTTTCAAGTTGAAATGCAATGCTGATGATTCAGTAGATAGATATAAAGCTCGGTTGGTAGCCAAAGACTACACACAGGCTGGGATTGATTTCTCAAACACTTTCTCACTAGTGGCCAAACTTACTTCTATAAGGGTCTTATTGGTTGTTGCTGCTGCAAAAAATTGGTGCCTGCAGCAACTAGACATTAACAATGCCTTCTTAAATGGAGAGTTATTTGAGGAAGTATACATGGATCTTCCCCGGGGTTACAAAACAAACAAAAAAGGGTTAGTTTGCAAGCTAAATAAGTCTATATATGGACTTAGGCAAGCTTCTAGACAATGGTTTTACAAGTTCTCCTCAACGTTATTGCAACATGGTTTTACACAATCTAAAAATGACTACTCTCTATTCACTTATGGTTCTGGTTCTTCATTGGTCATTTTGCTAGTTTATGTGGATGACATCATCTTAGCAGGCCATGATTCTTCTTGTGTTAACCAGGTACAATTGACATTGCAATCCTTGTTCAAACTAAAGATCATTGGTCCTCTCAGGTACTTCTTAGGCTTGGAAATTGCAAATCCAGCAAGGGTATTTCTTTGACTTATGTACTTGACTATTCCAAGGCCAGACATTACCTTTGCTGTGCATAAGCTAAGTCAGTACATGAAGAATCCATTGACCACACATTTAACCGTTGTTCATCACTTGTTACAGTACTTGAAATCCACTCCTGGTCAGGTTCTATTTTTCCCTGCCAGTAACAAATTGCATCTTTCAGCATATGCTGATGCAGATAGGGTAGCTATTTAGACACAAGGAAATCAACCACCGGTTTTTGTGTTTTCCTTACTGATTCTCTAATTTCTTGGAAGTCTATCAAACAAAGTACTGTATCCAAGTCTTCAACAAAACCAGAATACCGTGCCTTATCCTCGGTGGCCAGTGAAGTGGTTTGGCTACAGCGATTACTCAAACATTTTGAAATTCCAATCGACATAACCATGCTCTTCTGTGATAATAAATCTATCATTCACCTTGCTTCCAACCCCTCTTACCATGAGAGGTCTAAACATATCGATATTGATTGTCATTTTATTCGTGAACTTGTTCAAAAGCAACTCATCACTCTCATTCATGTAAAAACCGAGCATCAAATAACTGATATATTCACAAAGGCCCTTCCTGCTACTGCCTTCAGTCGTTTTATCGGTAAGTTTGGAATCATAAACATCTATTCTCCAACTTGAGGGAGGCTATTAGAATTAGATATAATTAGATATTTTGTTTTTAGATATTCTGTTCTATTTGTTAGTTAGTTGGTAATGAGAGTTGATATATAAACCTTATTCTGTAAACATTACATTTTTAATTTTTTAATTAGTTCTCTTTACTTCTCTCTCATTCAACACTCTACGTTTTGTTTTCTTTTTTTCGGTATGTTACGATATTGAAACTATGATGGTTCTGGTTGCTTGATTCACTGCGGCCCAAATAGATCCATGAACAAGTTTGTTGACTAAGTGCCCACCACTATACTAAGTTGCCCCGCAAGAACAGGTAGGTACATAATCAGACTTGCATTTGTTTAACAAGAAAGGGTTTAGCAAGAACAAAGTTTGAGAACAACCTGGCCAATTCTTATTTGGAACTTGGAAAAATGAACCACGATTCTTAAGCGTGCTGAACAAAGTTTGAGACTCTGACGATCTTTATATAAAGGAGTATTTTCAGGTCCTTTGAAGAGCAGAAATGAACTGTGCTGTGCTCTTCTTTTATATCTTTCTCAACAGTGAGTGGAAGGTAAAAAGTTTATGTCCTGAAAAAGAAAAAAGGAAAAGGCCTTGAAATTGAACATGAACAAAGCTGTTAGTCTTTATGCCCTTATGGGGCTCTTTTCAGGTGCTATTTTCAGCTCATCATGTATTTGTGGGACTCCCAGAAATTTTAAGACAGAAAATAATTGCACACTATTGGGCAGAGTTTGTGAGTTCAGCCTTTACCAGCATTATTTATTCTTCCATTCCATATACATTACAAGCATGCTTATATGTTTCTATCTGACTGCAGAAACATCACTCAGTACAATACCAAAAACCATTCACCATGTTATGCCATCATTCTGCCATTTTGGGTGGCATTTACACTGTCGGTTCCCTATTTGTCAGAGTTCTCATTAAGCTAAGTAAGAGAGATATCGAAGATTGAGAACTGCAATCAGAATATGTAATTATTGGATCAACCACAACTTGATTATATGCTTCACACACCCGATTCCGGTTGGGAATTTGCAGCATGGATTGGCTTTTTCAAAATCATGACATGGAGAAGGGAACACTCAAGATGAATCTACAGACAGCATGAAGCCAACATAATATATATATAACAGAAAAAAGGAGGCTTAGAAAAACAATTAATGATTTTTGTTTTGCTATCAAGAACATTCCCCAAAATATACCACTGTATATTTCAAGTAATATGTCAATGAAAATGTGATATGCCCCATATATTCAATTTTCATAAATTTCGAAAGCTTATTGAGAATCACGTCCACTTATATTGAAATTGCTAAAAGTTGTGCATTCTTAAACTAATCAAAATTAATGTAACCGTTAACAAAGTTGTTTTAAAAGTAATAAGAAATAACAGAAGTAAGTAGTAAATACTGAGAGGTCTTCAAATATCGACACAATGATGCGTAATAATGATTTTTGTTGGTTTCATTTTTCATTCGTCCTTTAATATCCACACACACAAAACTCAGAATAGTAACATTATTTCAATACTTAAATTGATGATGACAATTCAATAAAAAAAAAAGTTGAAAATAAAATATCTAACTCAATTTAAACATTGACTATCTATTAAATTTAAATTATAAATATAAGAAGTATATAATTTTATAATTATCTTATTAGAGTTTTATTAACCTTAACCCTTAAGATTAAATTTAAACATCTACAAATAGAAAATTTTTATGAAAAAAGTACAAAATTATTGTATTAAAGATATAAAAAATATAATAAATACTTTTTTTCTAATAAAATTTTATTATTATTAACTGTTTATATTTAATCTTAAGAGCTGAAGAGTTAAAATTAACAAAACTCATTTTATTATGTTAATAAATATAAGTATAAAACATATTATGTACTGTAATAGTAATGCACGTATTTATACCTATAAAAATTTTACAGGTAATTACTCATATTCAAATTCATACTCATTTAATCGGAATCTTTATGGGTACGATGGATTTATTCTTTTTATTACTTTTTTTTTTTTTTTTTTGTCACCGGATAAGATCGAATTTGAGTCGAATTTTCATCATGGGTCAAACTCGGGTTTCATTTATCTCTAGAATTGGGCTTCAAAATTCCAGGCATTAGGCCCAATAGCTGTTGGGCTTCATTGACTCCATAGATCTCTGCCACGGGGTTCAATTCGTTGCTCTCTCTGGAATATTGAGATAGAGAGAAGAGATGGAAGAAGATGCCAAAAGAGAGAACAAAAACATGGATTCACCCACCAATTCACAACAAACAGGTAATGAATTTCGCTATCTTAATGTTTTGCAGCTTCTTTTCCTTTTTTTCAGTTCCATTATTATTCTCTCTTCTCTTGTTTTCTGTTTCAAAGAAGAATATGAGAAGGGTTATGAAGCTTCTCATAAGTTGTAGTTACTTTCAGTTAAAGTAAAAATCCTGAACTTGGTTATTGGGGCTTTTCGATTTTTTATTTTAATAAATACTTGTGTTCATTTTATCGGAGTAGATTTGGTTCACATGTATTATATGTACTTGGCATTTAGTGAGGATTGAGTTTAATTGTGACCCTTGTTTGCTTTTGTACAATCATGCTTTGAAGTTTCTATTATCATTATCAAGGTCAGCACTTTCTATGCTGCATCTATGAACTTCATATATATCTTTGCCAATTAATACTATAATGCCATTAAATTCTTTTTTTTTTAATGTCCTTTATATTGCTTGGTCTTTCTTATGTTTAATAAATTTGTTAATGTGAGGTTTGGGTAGTTTGCTAGAGGCAATTAGGTTCAGACCTGCATGCTGCTGTTGTACAAGAAAAATGTGTTCTATACAATCATTTAACTGGTAGATTATAACTGGAAAGTTATCCTTTCTTTGTTTCTTTTGCGTCTCCAGCAGCATATGGAACATGACCCTGCATTAAGATGACCATCTAATTTTTTGTTTATTTGATTTAAATATCAGTTTCAGATGATGATGAGATAGACTACACAAGCAAACCAGAGTTTTATGATCCAGATCTTGATGATAAGGATGAAAAATGGATTCATAAAAGAAGACAAGGACGTGAATCTGATGCTGTACTTAGCTGCCCTGCTTGCTTCACCACCCTCTGCCTAGAATGTCAAAGGTATATGCTTGAATATAATATATGCAAACTTTCATACTTTGTGGTCTTTTGCATGCAATCACACGCACTTAAATTACTGTTTAGCTAGGCATGTCGACATGTATATATTTTTACTTAAACAAACATTTTTCTTTGGCATAAGGAATTACTAAATTGGTAGATTAATGATTTTATTTTCATTCAGAACAATACTTAGTTACTTTTTGCTTGTGAACGGACTAGGAAGGTTCTTTATCTTATACAATGGAAGACTATAACATGAAGTGCAGTTCAAGCCCTATAAAACCACGCTTGTGTTGTATGACAATTGGGGATAGACAACAAGAACAGTTACATATGCAGTTTAACAATGCCCATTTAATGTAGGGAAACTTGTTCTTCCTATAAGAAGAGAAGTCGAAGATGAAAATAGTCTTTGCCGATAAAACAAGAAACTATTACATTGCTTTGCTGATAACATTTTTCAGAATTTCTCTGCACACATATGGGTACATTTCTGGGTTTTTGAACAGTGGAAATGTGTTTTTCTTTTTCTGGATGTATTGAAGTTATGCATGGAGACTAATTTTTAATTCTACAGAAACTAACCCTTGGAGGGAGTGAGAAAGTGCTTCAGCTTCTTAAAGATGAGATTTTTTGGCATAAGTTGAAACATATTTGTAAAACCATCATTAAATGACTGGGGGAGGCTACCTAACATTCAAATAAATGCTGTTTTGTTCATGGGCCGGTAACTTAACTGTTATTTTAAATGACTGGGCTTCGCTTGTTTCTTGCAGGCATGAAAAATATTTGACCCAGTACAGAGCAGTGTTTGTTGTAAACTGCAAGATTGGGAATGACAAAGTTTTGAGGCAAAATTCCTCAAGATCAAGAAAAAGAAACAGAGGGGCCGAAGGATTTGATGGCAATGATGCACGTTCATCGAACAGTGAAACATTCAAACAAGTCTGTTGTTCTGTTTGCTCAACAGAGGTTGGTGTCATTGATGAAGACGAGGTCTATCATTTCTACAATGTTCTCCCAAGTGAATCCTAACTGATTCCGTTGTATCTACCAAGCAGTGGTTGTGTTCTGAGTTTCATTACCGTAAAACTCCAATTCAGAAGTAGTTGGTCTCAGTATCTCTGTTTTAGATCCATGAAAACGCCATTCTTCCACTTCGAATATTTCTCCCCCATAAACATTTTGGAGGTAACAGTCAAGTATTGAAGACGCAATCTCTAGGGCTAAAACCATGGACATGGGGAATATTACTTAGAATTACTTAATTTATATCTTTGGAGATGTTTTGTTTGACATAAGTCTCCTCTTTGGATGTTTTTCAATACCTTGTCAACTTCTATTTGTATTTGCTACTTTTTTAGCTTTTATTCATTTTTGTTGTTACCGACGATCCGAATGATGCAGTAGCATGGAATACTGTTCCATGAGCTTAGAATAGGCTACTTGTACAATTAACTCTTTATCAAGCTACTTTTAATAAAATCAATGTCTAAATTTTATTTCATAGGTGATATCAATATGTGTCTGGGTGCACGTCCTTTTTCTTTCCCTGTAACTCTTCAGTCTTAATTTTTGAAGTAAAATCTGAAAGTATACAAGCTAAAAAATTTAGTCTTTAAGATTTAAAAAAAAATTGTTTCCTCTTGCTTTTACAAAATACTAATTAAATTTATACATTTTTAGTATAAAATGATGGTAAAAAGTGAAGCAAAAACAATTAAAATATTTTTTTAAGTGTCAAAAATTAATTAAAAATTCAGAAAATTAAAATTTTGAGAGTTTATTTTATTTTTTTCTTTTGTTATAAGATAAGATTGAGGTTTGAACTTATGACTTGGTACAAATTATCCAAAGCTCAATTTCAGTGGCTTTAGTTGACTCTTGACAGTCTTAATTTTGTTGTCGTGTAATGTACATCCTTCCATTTCTATGTCTTCTTTGAATTTTGTCCCTTTTTTCTTCTCCAGTAATATGAATCCTGCCGCCAATTTTGACAGGGTTTCACGAATCTATTATAATATGGAAAGAAATATAGATTTATTTAAAACTGGGCACTGAGAAAAGAAGGTTCAGCTTTTGTCCATTCTCATAAACGTACATGGCTCATAACACTCGGAATATACACACATGTTGGGCAAGACTACCCTATCTATTAATATAAGCACTGTAACCAATACATTAACAAAAACGATTTTAAAACTTCTTTAATGTATTTTTATATTCTGGAGTTGTGTTTATACTTGCTTTGAGATTTTTTTCTTTTTGATTATTGATCAAGTGTGGAATGTAGTGTATTAAAATATTGCCGAGAATGTGTGAGTAGAGATTCCTTCCATGAATATAAAAATATGGAAATAGGATCATGATCCAATATTTTAAAGGACTAGCATGGAATGTTCCATCATTTCAAGCAGAGAAGTAGTATGCAAATCAAGAAAAGGTACATCAAATCCTTTGGATAATTATCCATCACTCCTTTTAAGTTGCTTTCACTAATAAACTAATTCGTAGTGGTTAGGAAACACATAATGCATATATTAATATCAATAATTTAGCTATAGCTATGTAGTATCAATACATTACGGAAGAGGCAAGAGACAGTGCATGAAAATTGTTATTTAAGATATGGAATATGTGTTCGTGTGCATTCCATGTTGTATTTTAATTTAATATGGCCTCTGTTTTATTGTTTCTTAAGTTTTTGTCCTTTAAACAAATTTCCTTAGAAACCATTACGAATTATGATTTTTTCGCATTCAATTAATCAAAATTTATGGTTAATTTTGGAATAGACCTTCTATTATTATTATTGATATGACTCTCCATTTTATAAGCCTGAAAACATCTTTTGTTTTATTTTTTTATTGTGACATTGAACCTTGCCATTATTTTAGATGCCATAGATAAAGAGAACCCAAGTTATATTAACTAACGATGTTCACTTCCTTATGTACGTTTGAATGTTCTAAATCTGAAAATATGTTTGACAGAGAAGTGGGTATCAGAATCAACGTCATATGAAGATTCCTAGCCTACTACAAAGTAGCCCATTGTAACAAAACAAGTAGAATATGCATTTCATAATTCATATAAATGCATAAAAAATAATTCATTTCTAATAGGATGGGGTTCACTTAATTTGGTCTATGAGCGTCAGTTCGACAAGTGTAGACTACTGTGCTTGTGATTGTATGCGTTGAAAAGTTTGTGTGAAAATTTGAATATTGCGTTTTATGAATTTATGATTTTTCCCCCGTCAACAAGACATCCCAATACAGATTGACATAAATAGATAATAATGTAACTTTATATTTAGTCAAAAGTTATTAATTTCCCCTGTCATGGATCCTAAACATTTGTAACCCTTTGATTAGTTTTTGTCATTATCGTGAGCCCTATGACTAGCAGAGTTTGTGGGTTTAATTTGGAGAAATATATATAAACATATACATATATTCAACGGACAAAGTCCAAATAAACAGAACAAAACTACAACATTAACCTAGGAAAAGCAATACATATATTTGTAGTCTTGATTAATTGTCGCGTGATATATAACTATATTCTAATATTACTATTTGTATTGAAAATCGTGATTTATGAGGTGCAGTTTTTTTTAAAGGGACCAAATGAAAACAATTATACAATTTTGAATTCATGTTCTCGTTTGACTTTTTATAAGGTTTTTTAAATATAAAAGCGTATTAAATTATTATATTTTTTTGGTTGTATTGAATTTTAGTAACAGGTCCTTCAAATTAATAATATTGGTGAATTTTATCCTTAATGTTATAAAATATAGTTAAATTATATATTTTTCCAACAAATTTAGTGCATAATATTATCAAATATTAGATAATTTAGTCTCCAAGGTTAATGCACAATCCCCTTGCCAGTTGGGGTAAAAGCCCAAACGAAGAGGCCCATATTAGACGATGCAAGTATCAGGGCAATAAACCCTGGTTTGTATATGAAACTTAGGTGGGAAAGGAAAAGTGGAAAATGAAAGATAGCAGCATAGCTTGGTGGAGATTGCCGGAAACTTCCAGTCTGACAATGGAGCACAGATGTTTGGGTATCCGGTTTCTTAAATACTCAAAGTAATAATGCTACATATAAAAGACAAACTCTTACTTTCATCTTATGAATAAATCATCTGTATAACATTATTCTTAAATAGAAATGTTTGGTATTTATGTTTATAAAATTGAAAAAAGAAGGAAAAGAGTTACGAGTGGATAAAGGGAGGGGAGAGAGAGAGAGAGAGGTGGAGCCCAGCACCCATGTGCCCTCCTCCTGTCTCCACCAGCTCCTGCCGCTCAATCATTAGACGTCTGTTCCCTCTCTCTCATTCACTCGCTTACTCACTCACTGTTCACTAACACCCCTCACTCTATTTCTCTTACTCAAATCGAAAACCCTCTTTTCCCCTCAATTCTCAATTCAACTTGATATCACTAACTTCTCACGTAACTTAGATGTCGAGCTCCGACGGAACCGCCAACGCCGTCAGTAACGGCTCCATAATTGACACCCAGCGTCAGGGACCTCAGCAGTTAGCCGTCAAGAAACCGCCGTCCAAGGACCGTCACAGCAAAGTCGACGGTCGAGGACGTCGCATACGCATGCCAATCATATGCGCCGCACGTGTGTTCCAGCTCACGCGCGAGCTGGGTCACAAGTCCGACGGTCAAACCATAGAGTGGCTACTCCGCCAAGCCGAACCGTCCATCATCGCCGCCACCGGCACAGGCACCACCCCCGCCAGCTTCTCCTCCGTATCACTCTCCGTCCGCTCCTCCCCTTCCTCCACCTCCGACCACAAACCCCCCTTGCTCGCTCCCACTCCCTTCATCCTCGGCAAGCGCATACGCACCGATGATGACTCCTCCGCTTCCGCCAAAGACGATGCTCTCTCCGTGGGCCCTTCTCTCGTCGGCCCTACTACCCCCTCTGCCCTGTGGGCCCTCCCGGCCCGGCCTGATTTCGGACAAATTTGGAGCTTCGCTGCTGCTGCTGCCGCTGCGGCTCCTCCTCCCGAAATGATTGTGCAGCCCGCGGCGGTGTCGGTGGCGCAGCAGCAGCAACAGGTTTCTCTTTTCGCTCATCACCACCATCATCAGCAGCAACAACAGGCCATGGGAGAAGCTTCGGCGGCGAGGGTGGGGAATTACCTTCCCGGCCATCTGAATTTGCTCGCTTCTTTGTCGGGAGGGCATGGGAATTCTAGTCGGAGAGACGACGAGCCTCGTTGATTGCGTCTTCTATGTGGAAGGTGGTTGAGGATGGTGGAAGGCGGTGGCGTTTTCTTCGTATATATATAATTATCTCGTGTTGTGACTGTTGCTTTGTTGTGTGTGGAAGGAAAGCAGAAGACTCTTAGGGTTAGGTTTTTCTTGTTAGTTTTGAGTGGTGAAGTCCTTCAATTAAGGAGTTCAATTAGGGCTTTTACTTCCTTCTGGTTTGGAAACTTAACTAGGTTTTTAGAATTGCAAATTGTTTTAGATTCTGGGGCTTTGTTGTTGGAGGAGAAAATGGGAGGGAGAATGTGATAATTGAATTAGTGAATTGTGAAGGTGAGAATTTGCTGCAGATTGATGCTGGAAGCGGGTTTGACAACCTTGATGGGAGCGGTATGCAAGTGCATTGTTGTGCTGAAGAGACTTGTCCATGCTTGGAATGATGGATTGCATTGCTGCTTCTGTTTCACTTTCGTGGTGGGGATTTTAGTTTTTGGATGACTCTGCTAATTGGGTCTACCATTTTGGTTGTCGTTGTTGTTGTTATTGCAATTGAAGAAGTAATTAGTGGTTGCAAGCTCGGTTTCTGAGCTGAGTGAATCGTAGTGTTTCTGAAGTTCAATTGTCACTCCCACAATGTTGGAGTACCCTACTTTCCAACATGGGTTGAGGATTCGTGTCTCTTGGCTGCTATTGGGGCATCTTTTTACAGTGGGCATGTTGTGAATTGGGTGCAGCTGCTGGTGAGTTATGCTTTCTCTCTGTCTCTCTCTTCTCCACTTTCACGCTCCTTGATGGTCTTTGTTGTTTCAGAGGTAACTGGTGCGTGAAAGACAAAAAAAGCTCTGGTTGTACTCTCTCGTATGACCTCTTGTTTTGAGATTTTTATCTACAATTCTTATCTTAGCCATTTCTTAGATTGATCAGCGTGAGAATAATGTTTTCTTGTATGTAAGTGGATTGTTTTGGGGTGCCAGTGATGTGAATAAAAACCCATCTGTTTTTTTCTTTATCCTTTCTCTTACTTTTGTCACTTTCTTTGTTTCTATGTGCACAGCAACTCCTTATGCATTGCTGCTGCCAGACTTTACAATTTTGAATCTTATTTGATTTGATTCCGTGTGCTCTGTGTTCTTCAATTCTTGTGGTGAAATTGGCCTTTTCTGAATTTATGTGGCCTAGCCTGGTTCCATTATTGTAGCAGTAGGAGTAAATTCATTTGGGTGTTTTGATACCCACCGACCACCATGTTTGATTTCGTCGAAGTATCTTCGGTTTTCTGCTAGTTTGTCATTTCCGCGGTACTGTTTCTGGGAACTTGTACTCTGGCTACTTCAGTATTTAAGGAAAGATAAGGTTAGGTACAGCCTGTATCCAAGGCTTAAATATACAACAATAAAGATCTAACATAGGTGGTAGTATGGTTACTGTTTTTTATGTTTCACCATCGGTTAAACCAAATATGGTGTTGGTGCGTTTGATTCAGCTGTCAATCTGGGGTTGTTACTGATATAAAAACTAAAATTTTGGCTGATGTGCTGTATCTCAATAATGGCATATTTAATCTGGTTGTTATGACTTTGACTTTTATTGCCACACCCTTGGAAGCTACCATGTGCCTCTGCACCCTGCCTTATCTGCCTCACAAAACAAACTTGAACCATTCCCAGAGCTTATTTGAAGTGGAAAAAGGATCACGTGAAGCATTGATCTCCTCCTTCCATCATAAACAATTGCTTTCAATGTGTAACTAATTTGGGGATTCTATTTCAGTCCTCCAATTTTAAAATCCCTCTATAAGATACATAGCATCTTTGAGGCGTAATTTAACGAAATTGGAGGTAGGTAATTGGATGGATGACATGTTGTTTAATAACTGCACATGATATTTGCAGTGAAAAATGATGGAATTGAATTGAACTTGTAAATATAATCTCACTTTCTTGGTCCAGTGAGAAAATGAGTTCTTGGTCAGTTATTATTTGATTGATATGGTCATGCAATGTGTTTTTAGTAGCCTGATGTAGCTTAGAGTTAAATAAAAAATCAGTACGGGAAGTACTGAAAGGCTGAATTGAATTTGTTGAAACAGATGCCCATTCATCTCTCTTCTCAATGTACGGTAAGTACCTTCTCAAATTAAAAAAACATACGTTGCACATATGATAAGTTGTAGGATCCAGCTTTCATTAATTTCCTTAAAGCTTAATTGATTATGTACTTGGCGATTGATGTTATGGTTTTAGTCGAGTGTCTTTAATTTTTTAAACGATGAAATTAAGTCTTATTCAATGATTATTAAAATTATAATAAAAGTATGATATTTTACTAGTTTAATTTGCACATTTAAAAAATTAAAAAGACTAAACATGAGTAATTAAAACTAAAATGACCAAAATCGAATATAGAACTAAAATTACATTTAAGACTTTCTTTCAATGCATAACTCTTATAGCATGTATTTTAAATTCACTAATAAAATAGTATGATGACAGGCACAAAATTTTTACGTGATGCCATAGTGTGAAAATTGAAGTGAGTAAAAGTATGTCTCCAAGTTCCCATGTCGAGTATAGCAACTCATCATTTTGTTCATCTTGTACTTTTGTATGCATGGATTATTGGTGGGGTTTTCAAATTTAGCGATGCCAACATGTTTTCTTAATTATTGCCAAACAGAAGGGTCAGCTCCCAATAATTGATGGGTCCCTGGAATTAAATGTGGTGGTGAAACAAGTTAAAAACCATGTTATGATTTGGGACCATATTTAAACCCTCGTATGATGAACTTTTTGAACTTGATTGGAAACTGATTCTGGACCCACATTACGTTTTAGGGCCATTTCATTTGGGTTATGTAAAAGGTGCATGCAGTATCCAACAGTATATTTCCATGGGCCGACACCAAATCCAATTTCCATTTCTTCTTATTTGACAAAAGAGATCAGGAAAATTTAGAAATCAACACTTCAACTGACCCAACAAAAAACAAAAACAACAAATCTTCATTCACCAAATAAACAAATAAAATAACAACCAAAGCTTCCAAAAATGTGCGGGGTCTTCCAAAAATACTTATATGAATGAATTATATTCACAACATCAATAGATAAAGTAAGTCAAATAGTAGCATATATAATTTCCAAATAACTCTTATTTATGGGGCTTTTTTTAATAAAAAAAATATTTTGCAAATGATTTATTAAAAAAAATGTGATGCTAAATAAAGAATATAAAATTTCAACTAAATTTAATTAAGCTTGTTATGAACATTAAAAATATTGTTTAAGTGTATTTTCTTTCTTTTGATCTGGGTAATGATCAATTTTGACCATCTATTTTTCAAGCCAATTAAATCTCTCCCTCTAAAAAAAAGTAAACTTGGTTTTACTATCCTTTTCTATTTTATAATTTATTTATTACTGAAAATATTCATAAATTTATTTATTTATTTTAAATATTGCATCACTAAAACCTATAACTAAAATAATATTTTGTATCTTACTAACTCCAAATATTCAGATCAATAATAATAATTCAAAGTTTAGAAAAAAAAAAAACCAGAAAACATCACTTACTCGTTTAAAGTATTGATTAAATTGAAATTTTAATCCTTATTCTAAACATCATATTATTATCATTATTTATAATATAGTTTTTACATGATAAATTATAAACTAATATTAAGTTTATTTTAAATAAAACATTGAAATAAATATATTATAAAAATACGAATTAAATTCAACCAAGAAGCTAACAACGTTAACCTTAAAGGACCATTTCACAATATTTTTATATATAAAGATAAAAATGTAGAATAATATTTAATTTAACCGAAAGTATTTATTTGGGTTGGGTTGTTACTGGCATTGAAAATTCGAATCGAAGGAAGGTGTTAGAGCTTGGGACTTGGGAGGGTTTGAGAGAGAGAGAGAGAGAGAGAGAGAGAGAAAGAGATGTCTTCGTCGAAGAGTGGGAGTGGGAGCGGCGCGATTTCTCTGGAGAGGATGAGCGTGGAGCAACTCAAGGCAGTGAAAGAACAAACCGATCTCGAAGTGAATCTTCTCCAAGATAGCCTCTCCAACATTCGCACCGCCACCACGCGCCTCGAGATCGCGTCTTCCGCCCTCCACGACCTCTCTCTCCGCCCTCAGGGCAAGAAAATGCTCGTTCCTCTCACCGCCTCTCTCTACGTCCCCGCCACTCTTCACGACGCGCAACACGTCTTGGTCGATGTCGGAACCGGTTACTTCATCGAGGTACCGTACACGCTCCGTTAACCTTCATTACTTTATTATCACTCTCTTGCAATCATTTGATCTTGTTCTTATTCTTGTTCTTATTCTTGTTCTTGTTCTTGTTCTTGTTCTTGATCTTGATCTTGATTCTACTGCGTGCAATACACGAGATGTTATTTTAAGAGAAAGGTTGCGGTGATTGCATTTTTCTGTTATGAATTGAAGCGTTGCGTCGTAACTGCTCATTGAATGTTATTTTCACGACAATTACAGAAAACGATGGTTGAAGGAAAAGATTATTGCGAGCGCAAAATCAACTTGCTCAAATCAAACTTTGATCAACTTGTCGAGGTAGGTTTCTTCTTACATTGTACATTGTATGCTGTTTCAATTTCGTGCTTTTTTTTCTCCCACTCTCGAAACTATCTTGCGATAGACAATCGCTCTTTGCAATGGAATGGAAGCTTGTTTGGTTACGCCTTCATTAAAATCCGGTTTGTAGCCTCTCACTGGGGTTTGCACACTAGATTCTAACAAAAGCAACTGTTATTTAGCTTGTGTTGAGTTGAGAATTTTATACTGTACTATGTTTTAGTACAAACTTGCTTTTGACATAAAAGTTTTCAAATATAAGTCACCTCACTTCATACTTAACTTTAACTGAAATAATTTTTTCAAAATCAAGATCATCAGAAATTAAGGTTACAAATGCTCACTCAAACACACACTAACTACAACATAATTTGTTGTCATTTTCTAGGGAATGTGGTAATTTTGTTTCTTATGGTAAATGTGATTATTCTATTTTGGAAAGGGATTATTCAAAATAGATGTTGTTAAATAGCAGCTATGGCCATTCCATGGCTTTTTGGCAGAGTGTATTTCCCACAACAATGCTTTCAAGGGCTACAGTTGTGGGTAATGCTACAAGGCTTATGATTTTATCCTTTAAGTTTGGGGATTGTGTACTCTTTGATGAATTCTATTTCTCACAAGGTTTCTCTCTGTCTCCCTATATATATGTGTGTGTGGGAGTTTTTTAAATATGAGAAGGATAAATCTAGACCATATGACCATGTATGATAAAGATTAAAAAAATTTTAATGGTCAACTGATTATTTTAAGGTAAATAGCAACACATTCGTTTGAATGCACTTTTTAACGCACTATGTGATTGATCTATTTTTTTAAGGTCAAAACATTTATTATTTAAATTGATCATATTTTAAAAATTGCTGACTTTTTGAAAAAAACTGACCAGTCATAAGCAGTATGTTGAAGAGTGTGTGCAAACAGAATGTCTCGAGTCTTGACTTGATGTTTTAATCATTAGTTCTTAACCTTTCATGTATTGATACAATGGTCAAGATTACTCTGTGCACTCCCGCTCTTCAAATTGGTATTCTGTTCATAAAGTGAACTAAATAATATTTCTCCCCTTTTCTACAACTTGATAACTTTTTCAGATTGCCTTTTCAATTAATTTAAGAAGAGTTCTCATATTATAGTTGAACTTATCCAAAAGAAAAATAAGTTTGTACAATTCACACTGCAGGTTGCATCCAAAAAGAAAAATGTGGCAGATGAAGCTGGGGTTATTTTACAGGCAAAATTGAAGCAGTTAGCATCTTCATCCTAAAGTAGTTCGCTTAGAATTCGATTGCTTTCTTACAATGCATTGTACCATAGGACATAACGAGTGGTGTTAAGGTCAGTGGTGTTATATGTTGTTTAGACCTTTTTTTTTCTCTATAAAACCTCCTTTTGTTGGCACTTCCAACATTTAGTTTGGAACTATTGGAAATGTATTTAGAAAATGAAGTCAAACAATGACAATTTTACTTTAAAGGCTATTTTAAACAATTAGCTGTGGTCTTTCAGTTGCACCTTGTCGAATTAGAGCAGACTGTTGGAGTCCCTGTTCTTTGCTGGCCTTTCTCCCGTAATATTTTAGGTTTATTTTCATTTCACCAAAGCTGTTTCAGATTATTGTGTTATCCTGGGGAGAAGGGCTTCCTCGAGATTGCTGTGTTTCCTAGCGAAAGAAAAGAGTTTTCTTTTTTTGGTCAGAGAGAAGGGATTAAGATTATTGTGTTTCCTAGGGAAAGAGAATGGCTTCAGCCAGACAACCGCAATAATCTGGATCAAATTAGCGAAGGGGATTGCTTGAGGGTATTCGTTTGGTGTTGTGGTCGGGCTTATCACAGGTCACAATAAATGAGGTTAAGATAAACAATCAGTCTTTCGAGTTTTACACGATTCGATATTGGTCTTATATTTTTCTAGATATCGATTCTTATAATTTTCCTCATTTGAATTGTCCACTAATATTAAGGTGTTGATTATATTTTTCATCTGTTTAAGTTTTAGTTTCTATAATTTCTAGTTTTTAAGGCATTATTTTTAGAAAATTGCTGGCTATACACACTTTTGAATATGCTCTTAAACAGACTTTTTGATTAATATAATTTTTAAAAGTTAAAACACAAGCTTTATAAATTAATCTCCTTTTAAAAATTATTGACTTAAAAAAAAACCAATTACAAGAAACATGTTCACTAGTTATATAATGGACTACAGTTTCTGAATCCTGACGATGATTGTTACATAAACGTCCGAGTTCTGTTCCCAATTTCATATAAATTCTCCCATTTTTTATTGGTATCATATGTAAAAAACACATAACATTGTTGTAACTATCTTCGTGCAGAACAAAAGGGATTAAGATACGTACTTTCTTCAAACGATAAAAAAGCGAGAGAAATGTGATTATTAGGCTATGCAAATACCTTCAAACGTTAAAAAAAAAATAGAGCCAAGTAGCTTATTCGGAGAATCTCAAATTATGTTCATTTTTGAGACTACAGAATAAAGATTACATTTCCTTTACATTCCAAGATAACATTTAAGTTTCCAGGATTCTCCTTATACCTTCATTATTAAAATCATATCATATGCCACTCTAAATTTCCTCTCTTCCTTATAGAAAGGATGCGTGCCAAATACCAAAGGTGCATAGCAGATAATGTGGATAAATCCAAATCATTTCTCAACGAAAGAAGATTCTGCAAGATCGATGGCACGGGCGAGGGCTGCAGCTTTGTTCTCGCACTCTCTTTGCTCATCAGCTGGATCGCTGTCAGCTACGATTCCAGCTCCAGCCTGTAGATGGGCAATCCATTCTTTGCGTTTGTTCATATCCTTGTAGGAGTACATTGTGTCATAACGAGTATTAGTAGGGAAAACTATGGTCCTCAGAGCAAGGGCAATGTCCATATCGCCAGTAAAAGAAATGCCTCCAAATCCCCCACTATATGGCCCTCGTCTTGCGACTTCCAACTCATCAATCAACTCCATGGCTTTCACCTATTTGACAACAACGATAACGAGAACAATATATGACCAAATAAGTCAACCAAGACTGCAATCTTAAACCAGGTACAGTCGGCAAAGGATATCTTGTCGGTTTTCAGACTGTTTAGTGATTATTCCCACCAACATACCTTTTTGTTTTGTAACCATTTCCATTAAGCACAAGGAATATCAGAACTGAAAGAAAATGCCAATCTATACTGGAAATCACATCAGCGAGCGAGTCTGCAAAAACCTAAGCTACAGCCTTGAAGGGCCCTAAAATTTACCTTCGGTGCTCCGCTAACTGTACCAACAGGTAATGCTGCCCGCAACGCGTCCCAGCTTGTTAAGTGATCCAATAACTCCCCGGTGACCTGCGAAGACAGGTACATTTTTCCATTATCGGAGACAAACTTCTACACTGTATTTAAATTCATTTCTGCCAAACCAGACAGGAGAATTTAGACTTTGGCAGAAAACTAAATGGATCAAATCAAACCAGAAGGGGCTAAGCTCAATTCATATCATTCGGGTTTATGCAAAAGTGAATAGCTTGCATTAAAGTACTTACTGTTGAGCTTATGTGCATAACATGGGAATAGCGCTCGATATCCATTAGCTTTTCTACTTGAACAGAACCAGGTTTGGAGACCTGCATATTCATCTTTTATTAAGCACGTGGCTAAGACAATAAAAGAAATGCTTTGCGGCAGCATGTGCAATTTATGAACATTGTAAACCCATTATGATCATAAATTACCCAACTGCCAAGCAACTGTGACACAGGACGGTTAGTAAAACTGCCAATTAAAAGGGTGGCTCTAGGCCAGATAGAAAGAGGGTCAGTAGGGGATTAGGATGCAAATCTGGTGGCGGCAGAGTAACAACGGCTGTTCAGTAATAAAATGGAATAGAAGAGTTTGTTGAGACTAGAGAGAAGAAAAATGGAGGGGAGAGAAGTAGGCCTCTTGAATACTTGGGTGAAGGAGAGGGAGAGAATTCCTCTCCATTGTACTACTTGTGTTCTTGATCTCTGCTCTGTATTGCATTGATATTATTCAGTTTTTTTATTGATTGATTTATTGCAACAGAGACTACTCAGTTTTTCTTATATTCTGGTCCAGTACTATCAGAACCATCCTCCAAAAGTCCATTGACAAAATTCCTTATACATATTCTGGTCCAGCATGAGCTAGGGTTGAAGATGAGCATTTTGCACATCGTATGATTTATATTAGAGACGTTTTATGAAGATACAAAATCGGAGATATCATCAATCCAAATCATAAAGCCCAAGATGATTTACATAAGCATTTTGTGGAGTATGATGAGGGTTAGGTGATAAGGAGATGGTAAAGATTGATGAAGATGCTATCCAAAGAGCCAATAAATCTTTCTAGCAGGGGAAGACTATTCTCAGGAAAATCAATGGTAAATTAATGAACATTTCTTGGAGCTATCAAAATATGGGTATCGGTGCAAGAGGAGTGTTGTTGTTTGAGTGAGGAGCAACTCTTGATCATTGAATCCTGCATTTCTGCTCAGTGGTTATGTGACTTCTTATGAATTTTCTTATCTATGTAAGATCCAACGGTCAATATGTATTCCTTCCACATCTCACAATAAAACACTTACCCGCTTGATATGTCCCTGAATCTGAATGAATGCGTGCGAATACCCTTTTCGGTGCTGTTTCTGAGTAGCACTGAATTTCAGCTATGAATGCTTTAATAAGTCTGGCAAGTGATATGCTTTCTCTTGTTAGAAGTGATGCCTAACTGCTATTAGTGTGAGGCTAATAATGTAATATGGTTTTCTCTTTCTGTCTCTGTTTATGATATTTTTGTTTTCATACAGGTCAAGGGTTACCTGCGAGCATTAATCCTCACAATGCAAGAAGTTAATCTCTATGAAATAAAAGATAATAAGCCTGAAATAGAAGAGACTGCATACCTTTCCAACATCATTTCTCCCCAAATCAACTAGCATTACGTGCTCTGCACATTGCTTTTCATCATTCAAAAGATCTTTTTCCAACATGATATCTTCTTTTGGTGTTTTTCCTCTTCTAACAGTCCCAGCAAGTGGCCGATTGGTGATCCTTCTCTGTCAAAAAAGATATGAAATCATACACGTTACAAGTTAAAAATAAACTTATGCTAAATTTATTAACGTTAGAATTCTTTATATGGTTGAGAAAGATAATTAAAAGACAAAACCGTTAATTTGAGTAACTGTTGCACAGGGTTACCTTCTTCACCCGTGTAAGAATTTCTGGACTTGAAGCAACCAAAATGCTTCCTCTGGCCTGATACCAGTATATATTTCCACAAGTTAAACCTTTGCATGCAAAGTTACTTATAAAAAATAATGCCACGACACGAGAAATTGGCAAACCTGTAAATAAGTCATATATGGACTAGGATTGACAATCCTCAGTGCTCTGTAGACTTCAAATGGGTCTGCAAAAGTTCGCCGTTCAAAACGTTGGCTTAATACAATTTGAAAAATATCCCCAGCCAGTATGTGCTCTTTGGCCTGCAATACCGCCCTGTTATATTCCTCATTTGTCATGTTTGACATCTCCAGTTTAGAACCAAAGAGACGAGTGTATAACTTTATTGAACCTGCAGGCAGCCTTGGGCTGAAATAGACAATTATAATTGTAGATACCGGAATTAAACTTATCCACCAAACAATGCCATCCTTAACGTTAATTTGACATGTTTAGCCGAAAGCAATGGGGAAAAAAAAGCACACTTTACTCACGTAATAATATCATGCACCCTGGATACTAGAGTTTCCAGCCGGTCCATTCCATCATTGAGAGCTTCCTCGGCAGATGAATATCGATCTAACCGAACCCAATGAATCACATATGCTTTCTGTGTTCAACAAAGTCAAATAAAGAAGTCACATAGCTCTCTGGATTGATCAAAGTTAAAAATAGAAATACTCTCCAGGACAAAAACAGTAAATGCGAATAGAGTGATAAACTGAAGCAGAATGTTCTTAGAACCAACAGTGACATGGTAACTATAAGATTACCTTTTCAACATGATCAAACACAATCACGTTATCATAAAGGCCCAGATGAACATCAGGTAAGTTTCTGTCATCTACCGGGGCATTAGAAAACGGAAGTTTCTTCTTTTCTACATAGCGCATCGTATCATAAGAGAAATAGCCTACCCAACCACCTGGAAAGACAAAATGTCACACATTCAAACACAAATTAGGAAGCTTTTGACAAAACTGCTAAGATCCATCAATACAATATTCACTTTTCATCTCAACAGTTGAAGCGAGCAAGAAATCTAGATCAACATGTGCAAAAAAAGTCAGAGATGGTAGAACATCTCATCCTTACTTCGACCCGTAGAGGTACCCTTACTTGGAAATGAAACCAAAAATAACCAGAAATCTCTTTGGATAATCCACTCATTGTATACAACATCAAATTCCAAAAAAAGGGAAAAAATGTTGTTATACACTACTCAAACTCTACACAACAAACAGGACCACCCTGTTCATGATACAATCAGAACACAAAATCGAATAAAGAAATTGGAGTCAAATTAACACACCACAAAATGCCTCTGGAAGTTCATCAATGAGTTGAGGTGTCCACTTCTCCATGATCCTACGAGGAATCACCAACGGATCCTCTGCAATTTCCTCAGTCCTGCGCCCTTCCTCATGATCCATAATACTAACCACGTTCTCTTTCGCCACAATTTCCATACACGGTTGAGCTCCGACAACACTGTACCTCCCCTAATTACCATCAACGCAAGCAAACTAAGACGCAATCCTTCATTCATTCACAGTTCAAACCAAACACCAGAAAGGAACGAAAAAGCGCGCTTACGATACTGGAATACTGACGACCAGGCTCAGCCGATTCAAAGAGAAAGCTAGGAGCATCTCTCTCATCCTCCTTCACCAAACACCGGTAAGCAAGCACCGGAGTGAGGTGATCAGAGAATATGCATCGGTACAGAGGAATCACGTTCCCCTTCTTGGAAGCTTCCAGAAACTTCCCTGCATTGTCAACTGAACCAAACAAACGGTGTATAAAAAAAAATAATAAGAAACGAAGCATAAGCAAAAGCAAAGAAATATGAGAACGAGAATGACCTAGTAAAGGAGATTGAGCACAGCATTTCACTCTGAGAGTGTGACGACGGCAGTTCCACTTGGATCTGGAGATGGAGAAACTTCGATAACCATAACCTACACTTGAGAGAGCTAGGGTTTCCATCAAGACTCAATTTCCAGAGAAGAAAAGGAGACACTAGCAATGACAACTAGCAGTACCATAGCAGTGAATGACGGCGCTGCGTTTCCCCGCTGCACGTGCGCCGCCACCGGTTATTGTTCACTTATTTGGGCTGGGCTGGGCTGGGCTGGGCTTCGCAACCCGTGTTATTCATCTGGACACACTTCTTTAATTGGGCTTTGAAGAGTGGCCCAATTTCCATCTTTCAAAGAAAATGACACCGTTTGTTTAGCACTGAGGTTTCTAACTTTCTATTCAAAGCATAAGCATTAACCCGAAGCGGAAACATTTTTCTGCTCTGTGCTTGCGTCTTCTTCAAACACCGCCGTCACTCGCGACGGCTCTGTCGCCGCCGGAGCCACCGCATTCCGGTTCTCGACCTCGCTCCGTCATTCCTCGCTTTCGTTCAAATTTCGTGAACTCACCTTTCGCTTCTGCTTACTACCCATTGCACGTGAACTCGCGGCATATTGGTATAGCTTCTGTGCTGTCACCACCCTTTTTTGTTAAGTTCTGTAAACGAAAGGTTGAGAGTTTCGGAATTGTAAACGTTTTGTGGCTGAATTCCTTTTCTGGGTGTCGCGTTGAAGTTACGTTTGTTCGGGGATTTTGGTGACTTCTTTGAAGTCATGGCGGCATGGTCTTCTAGAAAGTTACTGAGAGATATTCTTCTCAAAAGGGTAGTCTCCAATCAGTTTCCTGGTGTCAGATGTTTTTCTTCTGCACCAGAAAGTGCTCCTAAGATTGGTCACTATTCCAAGAAAGTACGTATCTTAATCCCTTTTTTATGTATATGTGGTCTTAAACATTATGCATTGCCTTGTTGATGTGTTTTCCTTCCGTTGTAGCTGGGGTTTTCAATAAAAAAAAATTGAATTTTGAGGAGTGTCTTGGGTTGGAAGATTCTCGATTTTGCATGCTGCAATTCACATGCGCAGGGTGCGCGTTGGAGAGAGTGATTTCATTTGTTGATGGATTGAAAGATCATAGAAATAATTCATGGAAGCATATTTAGGAAAATATGTAATGTCTTTGGTGTGTGATTATGTTTGTAGCTTGCATGTGCATGGAATTTGTAACTTATCTGAATGTTGTTTGTAATTTCTGAATGTAGCTACCTAATGCTGATTGCTTTGAGTTGCAGGGAAGGTTGTTGACTGGAGCCACCATAGGCCTACTTATAACTGGTGGAGCTTATGTGAGTACTGTCGATGAAGCCACTTTCTGGTACTTCATTTGGGAGTTTGAGTGTAGTATGCAATTGTTTTTCTCATCTGGTTGTGCGTTTGATGTATTATATTATTTCTTTTTCATTTGAGGGAGAAAAAGTCTTCCGTACTTTGATGCTTTAAATGTATGTCAGTTGTAAATGTATTATTCTATAATTTGAAAAATGCTTTATTTGAAAAGAAAATGCATAACTTGGAATTGAATTATCCAAATTTCGATTTATCTTTTTTGCAGTGGATGGTTATTCTCGGCAACAAAACTTGTGAACCCCTTCTTCGCTTTGCTGGATCCTGAGTTTGCACACAAACTGGGTGTCTCAGCTGCAGCACGTGGTTGGGTTCCAAGGGAGAAGAGGCCTGACCCATCAAGCTTAGGGCTAGAAGTCTGGGGAAGAAAGTTTTCTAACCCAGTAGGTCTTGCTGCAGGCTTTGATAAAAATGCTGAGGCTGTAGATGGTTTACTTGGTTTGGGCTTTGGCTTTGTGGAGGTTGGCTCTGTTACTCCTGTTCCCCAGGATGGCAATCCAAAGCCTCGAATATTCCGGTTGCGAAAGGAAGGGTAAGAGTTTATATTTTGTTTCTTTGTTCTTCTGCTCTTGATTAAAAGATTGAATCTGTTTTTTATTTTACATTTATAACTTTTCTAATCACTTCTAAACGTTGCAGAGGGTTGTTGGAGATGTGAAAATGCTAATTTTGATAGGATGGACTTTTTAGAAGTTTGTTTATGTTATCTTTATTGCTCTAAAACTGATCAATTTAATGTGCAGGGCTATTATAAATAGATGTGGCTTTAATAGTGAGGGAATTGTTGCTGTTGCAAAGCGGCTGGGTGCTCAGCATGGTAAGAGGAAACTAGATGAAACTTCAAGCACTTCTACTTCTTCTAATAATGAGGTCAAACAAGGTGGAAAAGCTGGCCCTGGCATCCTTGGTGTCAATCTTGGAAAGAACAAGACAAGTGAAGATGCTGCAGCAGAATATGTACAAGGAGTTCATACATTGTCCCAATATGCTGATTACTTGGTAAAATTCTTTACTTATATGCCTTTTATGGAAAAGAAAGGAAAGATAGAAAACATGTATACTGTAACTTATCTTGGCATGTTTGAGTGCATATTTTGAATAAAGTTGTACTCCTTTCATGTTTAACTCTAACATGCTTGTAACTTTCTTCATGCAGTTAGATAGGTTCAGTCAAGGCAGTTAGTGACCTTTCCTTGTTTGTTGGGTTTGGCATGTATGTCGTGTCTTTTTTTATAATCTTTTTTTAAAGATTATTGCAATCCCTTGCTTGACAAATTATGATTGTGTCTTGAGCATGTAAATACTGTATAAGCGATTAACAGAGTGTGATCCATCATCATCTTGATTATGGCTTATGGGCATAAAAGCCAACATATTAAAAATTAATTCTTCTGTACAAAATTTGGGCTAGCAAGGAAAAGAGGTCGTGTAATGGTTCTAATGAATAAATAAATCAAAGATTTATACCCAGAATCATTGTCTTTACTGTTGGCTTAAATCTCCTTGCCCTTGTCAAGGGACAAACTATCCTAATGCTAGAATCTTTAACTATTACAATAAGGTGTTAACCAAAAAGAAAAACTATTACAATAAGGTCCTTGGCCATTACACTAAGTAATGTTGATGGTTTGTATTAATATAATAATATCTCTAATATGCCTCTTCTCACTAAAATTCTCAGGACTCAAATTGTGGATGTAGCATAATATGTGGTTAAATCATTATTCAATTTAAATAATGGTGGCAGGAAGGATTTTGTGCATGACATCTTGATCAAAGACGCTGCCACTATGTGAATTCAACTCAGGAGATAGTCCAATGATGACTTTTGATAAGATATCCTTTTAACTACTTCACAAGAAATAATAAAAGTAGTTAAATTTATTAATAACATAAAAATATCAAAAATATGATATTCTTTTTTCAAATCTATCATTAAAATTATTAGGACTCATAGTAAACTCTCTTTATACCTAATTAATTACTTTGTTTTATATAAGGATATTTTTGTAAAAAAATATCTAATGCAAGCAACAATTTGCATGGGTCTAAAAAGAACCATAACAACACTCTCCAATGGAGTCTTGTAAAAAGGACTATAACAAAATCTTCAAAGGTAGTATTATGTTAATGATAAGTTGGTGGTCTGGCAATCATGTCCTGCATTAACTAGTGTCCAAGAATCAATGTGTCAATTGTAGGAACTTTGATTTGGGATAGCTGGACAAAAGAAAAATTGTCCACTCTGGCTGACTGCGTCCAATTTATAAATGCTTCAGCTATTTTTTTAATTGAAAATGTGAGTTCATTATAGTGAGAAGATTGAAAATCAGTCATGGCAAGGATTTCACATCCTCCCAGAACATGATGTAAGTAATTTGATTGATCTCCGAAAAATAAATATCATGTTTTGAAGTTCTCTATGATGTTCAACAAATGACTGTTTTAAGGGTTTTTCTATCTCCGTTGCTCTTATCCTGATTTAGAAAAGTGAGAAAACTTGTGTAGAAGAATCTGAATGGATGAGAGGAAATTTGCTTAGGAAATGGATCAAGTAAACAGGGAAGGGAGGTATGTGTCTAAAGAGAAATAGATGGTGAAAAACAACTGTCATAGGAATTCTTTTTTTTAAAAAATAATCCGTGCTGCTTACTACAATTTTTATATGAATGCTTGGAATTCGGTTCTGTTTAATGTTTTTAATATTTTTTTACAGGTGATTAATGTTTCATCACCCAATACCCCTGGTTTGCGCATGCTTCAAGGAAGAAAGCAATTGAAGGATCTTGTGAAGAAGGTAGAAACTACAAACTAGAATGTGAAACTTTCTCCATGTGTTTCTAGTGTTGCATACTTGAGTGATTGACTCTAGCAAAATCTGCTTTCTCTTAAAAGGTTCAGGCTGCTCGCGATGAAATGCAATGGGGTGAGGAGGGCTCACCTCCATTGCTGGTAAAAATTGCTCCAGATTTGTCAAAAGAAGACCTTGAAGATATTGCTGCAGTAAGCATCTGCACATTTATGTATTTTCTCCAATCTTTCCAATCTCATATTCTGCATAATAGCTTGTACTTTGATTATAGGTTGCCTTGGCTCTTCACCTGGATGGACTGGTATCTCTCTCTGCTTTATCACTAATTTCAAATTATAGCCTCTAGCCAGAACTCAATCTTCACTTCATTTGCTATTTATTTATTTAATTATTGTTTCTAGATTATATCAAATACAACCATTTCAAGGCCAGATCCTGTCAGTGAAAATCCATTGGCTTCAGAAACTGGTGGCTTGAGTGGGAAGCCTCTCTTTGATCTGTCTACCAATATCTTGAAGGAGATGTATATCTTGACGAGGGTACGTTTTCATGGTTCTATATTGTGATTAGTAAACTGTACTGATACAGAGTTGAAATGCATGCAATCCCGTGTCTCTAATTCATCACTCTTGATGATGCAAGCAATGTAGTATCATTATTTCTTATGGTTGCTTGTATATGTTAGCCATGCTTAATAACATGGCGCTGTAATTTCATTTATATCAGGGCAGGATTCCTTTGATTGGCTGTGGGGGCATTAGCAGGTAAAAACTACATGTTCCTTCCCTCATTCATTAGGTATTTGTTGATTTCCAGCTATCTGTAGTATATTTTTAATGACTTATAAAGGTAAAAAATTGTACAATAATTTCTCTGACCCTTGTATATCAATTTAGTGGCGAGGATGCATACAAGAAAATACGAGCTGGAGCATCTCTTGTTCAGCTCTATACAGCATTTGCTTATGGGGGACCTGCACTTATTCCTCAGATAAAGGTATGCACCAAAATTCTCATGCTCAAGATGGTGGTTGATAACTCAAATCAATTAGTGTATGCACCAAAATTCTCATTCTCATTCCATTGCTTTTAGGCTGAATTAGCTGCATGCCTGGAAAGAGATGGTTTCAAATCCGTTCTTGATGCAGTTGGTGCAGATTACAGATGACTTTTATCCACATCAGAAAGCCGTGCTGTAAGAAGCATATTATTATTATTTTAGGTGTAGCAATGTTCAGTTTTTGGCAATACTGAAATTGCAAATTCATTTTTTTTAGCCTGCTTTAATTTTTACCACATTTTATCTTACATATTAGTATTTTATTTGGGTTTAGTCACGTGTTCTGAATTGTAAAAGCGAGGATAATTGAGGCAACTCAAGCAAAGAATTTATCTTGAGCAATTGTTTGGCAATAAGCCGCCATATTACAGATACATATTTTGTAGATTAAACCCATCAATAATCAACCAGCGATTTTTTCGCGTGGCACAAAGTTTTATGTGTTATCTAGACTAGCCTAGTCCCCAATAGATTAGAGATCCATTTATTTAATATTAAAAAAATAAGTGATTTCTTGATGCAGCATTTTTAGAAGTTATTTTGAGTACGTGTTACCAGCACTGTGCTTATGAGAATTACATTTATTATAGATTTTTTAAACATTCATTTTTTTTTTTTAAAAAAAAAAACTTAAACAAATGGGCATTGGATTAAAATCTTCAAATTTGAGACAACTGTAATTAACTTTTAAAATCGTTCCAGAAATTAATGTGTATTTCTTTCTTTCTTTCTTTTTTCGAACAACATAAATCAATGTGTATCTCAAAAAATATCGGACAAATCAAAGACACTTTATGGGTTCAGAAAAAGGCTTTTGATTTGGCAGGTCATTATGAGTCCAGATCAAGGGGTGCTTATTTTAATGTTAACTTTAATTGTTTTTGAAAAAATGTCTCAAATTATGGAATGTGATTAAGCAAAATATACGTTAAAATTAATTTTAATTATATAATCTTTTGTTGAAACATTTATTTGACTAAAAACATGAAAAATAAATATTTCAATGGGGACAATGTAAGTGCATCACACCTAAACATTTGCCTAGTTGTTTGTGAAAGGCCAAGACGAGACGATGCTTTTAGAAGACGCTATCACTCTCATATTTACATTACATCATAGCTAGGCCTCCAATCTAAATCAAACGGGCTTATCCTGTTTTGACTCCCTCCACCCCAACTTAACTTTGTAACACTTGCTTCCAAGTCCAATCATTGTCATTATAATATTATTGAAACAACCCTTTTATTTTTCTTGTGGGTCACATTACACTTGTCAACATATCACATTCTACCTTTTTCCATATGTCCCTTCTGTTCTTTTCCTTTTTAAGTGAAACTAAACAATTATTCTTTCTAGTTTGGTTCAATTTTCAGTGTATTTGTTTAAGATGTTGAAGAGCTTTCAAATGGTGATGGATTTTTTCTTCTTTTTATAGTTTATCAGTGGGGTAATTCCTGCTATTGTATTAATTAAAATCTTATACAAACAACAATGGCATGGATTTTGGCTTTTATATTTTTTTTATAACAACATTTATACTTTTTAATGATTTTAATCTTGATTCATATTATTAGTCAATTTTACCTGATGAAATAAAATTTTGTTGTTATTGCTTGGTTCATATTCTTGTTGTATTAGTGATTACATTCTAAAATTATTTTAGTTTTGATTGTCAATAATTTTGTTTTCTAAAATATTTTTCCTTTAAAAATATAGATTGTTTGTTTGTTTGCTTGCTTAAAGAAATTTTATTATAAAAATAGATTCTAAGATTTTGTGTATGAATTGGATGGCAAATCGGAAACTTATATGATTGTTAACGTTAAAAACAAGAGGTTGAATTGAAGCAATTTTGAAAAATAAAAACTCTAATTAAAAGATTATCTTCAATGCTTTGAATGCAATTATTAAATGTTTAATTCATATTGTCAAGCGATATCCTAACACGCCAACCTAAATGTTATAAATGCTAAGTGGTTGTATTTTTGCAATGAAACTAGTTATAAATGTAGTGGTTGTACTTTAGCATTATAACTAGTAGTCAAATAAAAACTAAGAACATGGATATTTTAAAGAATGGTATTGAAAAAATATAGAAATTAAAGTTGAAAAATGCAGATTACAATAAACAAAATGATTTATACTTGACTTATCCCGGAAGCCATTGATGATCTATCAAAATAATTGATAGCAACATGGAAATATGTTGTTTTGGCACTAAGCAACATGGTGGAATCCTACCTTAAAGGAAAAATATGAATGATGTGAGACCAAACAACAAACAAGTAATGCTTAAAATTAACATAAAATAAAAAATCTACCAAGTGATTGATATTCATGAATTGGAAAAAAGATAGTAATTGTGAATTGTCATCTAACGAGTTATGGGGGCAGTAAGTGAAGAAAACTAACAACCTTCCCAATAATTAATAACTCACAATGCCAAGGGTAGTTTCGTCAATTCACAACACTTGCCTCCAACAAAACGTCGCCCAAGTTAGCCGCTGAAATTTTCTCTTCAAATTCGGTTGCCAAAGAAAAACGCGCAATGCAAATACATTTTGAAATTTAAATTATATATATATATATATATTGCAAAAACAAAGTAAAATAAAATGTAAGAAATATAAATAAAATAAACTTAAAATGATAGAATAAATAAATGTTTACTTTATCAGTTTACACATTTTTGTATTTGAAATGGTCCGAAATTAGAAAAAAAAGTTAAAAAATTCCCTCCCTTTTTTATTTTATTTTATTTAAAATATGTGTGATTATTATAATGTTAAACAAGAAGTGAAAAAGCAAAGCAAAAAAGCTGTTTCTTTCAAATTCTTCTTCTCCATACGTTGAGACTTGAGAGGAACCAAACGTGGTCTTTGTGAGGCTGAGACTCTTCCGCGAACACATTGACATTGTTTTGCTCTTTGTGTTCTGAGTTCTGAGTTTTGAGTTTGCTCGTTCAATGCTCAACGATTATTGCTACTCGAACTCCATTCTGCAAGATCTTCATCTTAATCATTCTTCTTCTCAACTCATCTTCTGTTTTTTCTGAGGTTAGTGGATCTGCTTCGCGAAAACCAGACTAATTTTGTGGTTTTTCACGTGTTTCTGTTCTTAGCTTTCTTTGACACTGTTTCTGCTTTTTGGCACAATGAACGAGGAAATCTTGAAGATGATGAATTGTTGTTTGAAATATTGTCTTGATTATTGGTTTCTAAGTGAGCATTTAAACTTTATTGATATATATTTTTTTAATTTCTTTGTTCTCTTGTTTTGGTGGAGGGATGAACGAATTCAAATTTTTGATGTTTATAATTTTTTAGTTTTTTCGGAAACCGATCTTTAAGAAGAAGGAAAGATCTGTTTATGACTCTGTGCGTGACTGTTGCAGCATTTCATTTTGAACATAGAAGGGAGTTATCGTTAAAATTGGGTCCATGAGATTAGGCAATGTGGGGGCATGGTTGTGTTAGGTTTCATGATTTTGTATTTTACAGGTTGGAGTGAGGTTCAGTGTGTCAATGACTACTTTAAAGGCTGGAGCACTAGACTAGAGAGTAGAGTCTGTATCTTGAGTTTGGGTCCCCTCCATTATGCTATCCTGATTAAGTCATTCATTGGGGCCTTGTTTTAAAGTTTGAAAGGCCCATTTGTTTGAAAAAAAGTAAACTTTTTGCTTTTGTAAAATATCACCTTTTTCCTTTGCAAATTGCAGTAGCTGATGGTAACCTCTTTTGGTTATGGCAGGAGTCTTTAAGGGAAGATGTCTCAGACATCCAGTGTCCTGCCTGCCTTCCATTCCATCAATTCGTTGCCTCCTGAGTTCAAGTTTGCTGGTAATCCGAACCCTGTTGTTGTGGAAAAACAGGGAGATGTTAAATTGAAAGGCAACAATCTGATTGGATCAAATGGTCCTGAAAATGGTGCGCTGGTAGGGGAGGTTTCTAAGGAGGTACACGGCCGGGCTGGTGGCATGGATCTTTTGGATGAGGACTCACCGTATAGTGGAAAAGGTAGATCACTGAAAGACAGGCCGTCTAATGCTGATGAAGACTCAGTATCTGTTTCATTGCCCCTCCCATCAATTTTGACGTCCTCTAGGGAAAGCAGGTGGAACGATACAAATCCTTATGCTTCAAAGAAGGTAGAGCTTCAGTTTCAGTTTTACTCTGCTGCTGTTATACCTGTGATGTATATATTTAGTTAGATAAACAAACAAATTTTTTGGGGACAATGTTAAAAAAATTGATGCATTTTCTTTCTATTTGGATGTTTCAACACTGAACTATTGTCTATGTTTATTGTGCCTACAATTCATGTTTATTGGAATAGGATCAGAATCAGCTGAAACATTGAAGGTGCATATTAGATAATGCAGTTAAACGGATTGAAAGAAGGGGGAGGGGTTAGGAATTGTTTTAGTGGACAAACTAGAATTTACCTTGACCAGTAGGATTCATACACCCTCAAGTACCTCACAATTTCCTTCAATAGCTATATAGTAATTACTTTCTGTAAAAATACTTCCTATGGCAATCACAATAAACCAAAACAACATAATGATTTGACACCCTTTTGTTTTGCATCAACAAGTCACTCAGGTAAGACAAATATTTTCAGACTAGTTGACAATTTTGCAGTGCCCATATCCTCGTGCTTATTTATGGTTTTTACTTCTAAATGTTTAACTGGATTGGTGCTTTGTAGGATGTTGAGGAATAGAAGGAGTTGATGAGAAACTAATGTGTATTATTTTATTTGTTACTATTAGCATTAACAGCAGTAATTAGTTCAAGGAATCCTCCTCTAAGATGAGAAGATGTGTAAAATAAGAAAGCGAGGGTCTATTAATATTTGATTTAAAGTTGGTTATGTTTACAAAATACTTTAATTTAAATTAATGGTCCTTAAAAAAAGAATAAATTAACAGTAGATAAGTCCCCACTTTCTTACTTTACAACACATCTCCTCACTTTAGAAGGGTTACATCTTTAGTTAAACAAGGTATAGAAAAGTTACAGAATGTTATCTATATTTTAATTTGTAAGTTGAATCTTCATGACCGAAAAAATCCTTTGTGAAGGGGGAAACCTTGGGGGGAGGGGGAATTCTCTCCTTTGTTCTGTTCTAACTAATTATTCCAACTCCTAATAAAGCTCAATTTTCAAAATGATACAAGACTGAATTCTTTCTTTCCCCTTACATTCTCCTATATATTTAACTCACTAACTTCCTTGCTAACTAACTGTTATAATTATAAATCCTAACTAATTATCCTAACTCCCTAACAAATCCAGTCCTTTGTTTTCAGTTTTTTGAGTTCTCACCACTAATAGATAGTTTAAAACTTTTGTTTCTTTCTCTTACTTCTGAAGTTCACTATTTCAGAAGCTTCAGTCTTGGCTTCAACTTCCAAATGGGG